CAATGTAAGCAATCTTTACTGAGTATTAACTATGTGCCAGGATGGGAGTCTGGGTTTAACTACTGCTGGGAGTCAGATGCTGAGCACTGGCTCTCCTCCCACAGCCCAGTGCTGTGTAACAGCCTTCCTGCTCGGAACACAGGGCACAGCTGTGCCAGCCTAGCTCGGGAGCTTCCCCTTGGCAGTGGACCCCAGCAACCCTCACTGAGCGGAATGCAGGCAGTGTGCCACTCCTGAGTCAGGTTCCTGAGTTAGGAGACATGCCCACACTTTGCAGACTCCTTCCCCAGGCCGCGCGTCAGCACACACAGCCCAGACCGCCTTCTCAGAACTAGGCTCTGAGTCAGGCTCTGGAGGCCCAGAGATGAGCACACAGCGAGCCCGCCTCCCGACAAGAGATACGCACAGAGTGGTTGGGGTCATGGGAAAGAAAGGCACCAGTGTCGGGTGGAGAGGAGTGCCAATGGCAAAAAAGAAAAAAGAGATAGATTTATTTTTATTGAAAAGGCAGATTTGCAAAGAGAGACCTTCCATCCACTGGTTTACTCCCCAAATAGCCACAAGAAATAGACCTGAGCTAATCCAAAGCCAGGAGCGAGGAGCTTCTTCCAAATCTCCCAGGCAGGTGCAGGACCTCAAGGTTTTGGGCCGTCCTCAACTGTTTTCCTAGCTCACAAGCAGGGAGCTGGATGGGAAGTAGAGCAGCCAGAATATGAACCGGTGCTGGGATGAGATGCTGGCACCTGGACTGCCTGCAAACAGTTCCCAGCTGCAAACTGCAAACTGCCAACGCCCCTGGGGACAAAACCTGAGTTTTCCCCTTGGGGCCACCCCTGCCGAGGCCCCAGGAGTCAGGGTAGACCTCCCTCCCTCTACCACACCAGCCAGGTCATGCAGGAATGTACTGGAAAGTGTGTGTGTGTGTGTTTTAATTTACTTCTTTTTATTGGAAAGGCTGATATATGGAGAGGAGGAGACAGAGAGGAAGATCTTCCATCCCATGATTCACTCCCCAAGTGACCAAGTGCTGCACCAATCCGAAGCCAGGAGCCAGGAGCTCCCTCCTAGTCTCCCACACGGGTGCAGGGTCCCAAAGCTTTGGGCTGTCCTTGACTGCATTCCCAGGCCACAAGCAGAGAGCTGGATGGAAAGCGGGGCTGCCGGGATTAGAACTGACGCATTCAACGCAAGGACTTTAGCTGCTACGCTATCACGCCAGGCCCCAAGTATGGGTTTTTGTCACAACCCAAGTTGTTACAAGAGGGGACTGAAGATTCTGTTTGTATTTCTTCACTCTGCCCCCTTAAAGTAATTCATGGGCTGCCACCTTGACCCTTCTTCTGTGGGCTTATTAAATCCATAAATAAGGATTTAATCTTTTAAGCCCTCGCCTGGAGCAACTGAAGTTATGAGCAGGCCTGCGGGTGAAGGGGGCCACAGGGACTGAGGAGGAGTTTTTTCCTGGACCACACTACATGGGCAGGCATGGAGAGGCTGCCTGCAGGCTCCACAGACAGACTGCTGTGGTTCGTGTTTCTGCAAGAGCTTGTGGTGACCAGAAGCCTAGTCCCCACAGTGGCGGTCCTGGAAAGTGGTGTGAGCCAATAAGGAGGGAACACAGGGACTGGTGCTGTAGCATAGCAGGCTAAAGCTACAGCCTTTGGTGCTGCATCCTATGTGGGAGTCGGTTCGAGTCCCGGCTACTTCACTTCCGATCCAGCTCCCTGTTAACGTGCCCAAAAAAGCAGCAGAGGATGGTACTCGTTCTTGGGCCCCTGTACCCATCCCAGCTCTGGCCATTGTGGCCATTTGTGGAGTGAATAAGTAGGTAGAAGATCTTCCTCAGTAACTCTTTCAATTAAACAATTAAAAAATTTTTTTTAAGAGAAAGGGCTTGGGGCACCTAATCAGAGACCCTCATGGGCATGCATTCCTCTGAACTACATAAATAATATTAAAAATAAAATTGAGAATTAAAAAAAATCTAAAGCAAGTGTGGGGGAGGCCTACTGGGAGGTCCTCAGGCTGACTGGCACATGTCCTTGCATGGGATGGTGGTACCCAGCCTTTCTCTGCTCTGAGCTTGAGGCGTGACCCACTTGTCCTAATGCAGAGTGACGCAACCAGAAGTCCCTGCTCAGAGCCAAGCGGATGCCAGGGCTGTGGGTTTGAACCTCTAAAATGGTGAGCTACACCCACCCTTCTTCTTCCTAAGTAACCTGTGCCAGGCACTAGGTGATTGTGTTGAGGAAAAGCAGACATTGAGACTCAAGCTGAAGGCCGCAGCAACACCTATGCAGTCCCAGCAGCACTTCACAGGTGTGTGTGGTGACCCACGCCAGGTGCAGACTACAGTGAGGCCGTGGGAAGGCTCGGGGCAGAGGCCTGCACTACAAGAGGGTTGGAAAAGGGTTCCAGAGATGCTGAGTCTGAAGGAGGCGGAGGAGGAACAGAAGGAGGCAGAGATGAGGAGGAGGAATGTGCTCTGGTTCCGGTGTAGCTCAGAGCCTCAGCCCAGAGGAAGCCGCTGCAGCTGAATCAACAACTTCATTCTTGACATCTTTGCCCCCTGCCTCCCGGCCAGGGCTCCAGCAATGTTGGCTCAGGTCCCTTGATTGAAGTGAGCAAGATTAACACTTCATTTGCTCTGGCAGGCAGATGTTATCAGCAGCAGTCCTGAGCACAGAGAAGAGAGCTGGGCACTTGGGGCAGGAAACTTTTGGAACCAGTGTTGGTTCTTCCCCGGGACCAAGACCCCTCAAAGCTGCCTGGAGACCTGGTGATAACTGGCTCCACTATGATAGCACCTGCTGGCCCTCCCATCCTGGCCACTCTCTGCCTTCTGGCAACTGTCGGGGGTGCAGGAGGAACATCTCAGCCCTCCGTCCTCTATGAGCACCTGCTTCTTGCACTAATGTTGTTGTTGTTGTTCTACCAAACTGAAGGTGGGAGCCCATTTGCACCCCCAAGATGGGTGGCAGATGGTCTGAAAGGGGTGAGAAGCTGTTCTCTGACAACAGGACTAAGTTCCAGAGGCTGTCTCCTGGAGCAGCAGACAATTTAGAATAATGAATTTGGACAGTTCACTGGGTCTGCCCACACACTTGCACTCACCTTCCAGAATGCTTCCAAAGTAGCACTAGCTATCTTGTCCAGGAAGCAAAAGGGAAAGGTGGGGGAGAAAAAAAAAAAAAAAGACCAAAACGTAAGAAATGGTAAGCTCCCAGAGACGTCTGCCCTTTCAGAAAAGTCTGAGTTAACTTTTCCAAAGAAATGTTCAGCACCCCCCCGAAAAACCCAAAACAAACAAACAAACAAAATCCTGCATTTTCCTTTCTCATCAAGGAACCAAGCAAGGAAAGATACCACAATGAGAGACACACACAGGATGGATGAGGTCTTGAGAGTGGACTTGGAATGCTTGCTCCTGACACTGATGTCAACTACACACAGCAGCAGTGGCTCTGGCTCCAGCTCCAGGACGGAGAGCCACCAGCTTTGTAGGACAACCAGTATGGTCCCATTTCTAAAAGCTTCTGCTCAGATGCAGGCAAACACAGTCCCACTGGAAGAGACCAACACTCCCCACCACGCACACACGCACACGCATGATCGCAGCCTGGACCCTGCTCCCCAGACCTCTGCCGTGAACGGTGCCCCCTCCTCCAGAGCCTTGCATGCACCCTGTGTTAGATCCAGATGTTCCGTGGGCAGACCCCGCTGTGGGCTGACAGGCGGTGATTATGGCTGCCAGCCCCACATTAGGGGAGCACTGAATGGGAGCGCGCCCCAACCGCCTGGGGCTCCCTATAATAGCGCCTTTGTGAGGTGTCTCGTGGCTGTTTCTCCGTCAGAGAAAAGGAAAGAAGACAAAGGAAGATATGATGGGGGTGGGCCTGCCTGAGCCCCCCCCAGCCTGGACTGGGAAGGAGGAAAGACTTGCTGTCCCCTCTCTACCCGGATAAAGTAACCCAGAGCTCTCTGGGGACAGTTTAAGGACAAGTCCCCTAGTGACTCCTGTCCTAGGGGCTCCTGTCCATACACCAGTCTACCCCCGCAGGTTGAACATCCAGATGTGGCTGGGATTGTAGGGAGGGTGGGGAAAGTCAGGAAGGAGATCCGCAGGTGCCCAGAGACCGGAACCCAAAAGCTGCAGCTTGCCTCCTGCAGCCCGTGGTCTGCAACCCCATGCAGGAGGGAGGCTGGGCTGCTTGGGCCAGGAAGGGTTAAGTTGCCAAGACTTCTACTCGGCTTCCGGCCAGGTTCTGGGCCTGCAGTGGTTTATTGGGGGTGCATGAGGATGTAGGGTTCAGGGAATGCAAAGCACGATGCGTGGAGGGTAGGGAGAAACAGTCCCACCAACATCTGGGGCATGGCCACTGCCCCTCCTCCCTGCCCAAACCGCAGACGCTGTGGCAGCAGGAAAATCGGAGCGGTTCAGATCCAGAGCAGTTGTGCAAGCTGGCCCTGGAGAGGGGCTGGAAGCCACATAGAAGTGGGTGTGGTGTGGACACACACACACCCCTACCCTGCCTGAGACTTCAAGTTCTCATGCGTTCCCGGCACCAGTTTCCACATCAAACTTCAACTTAGCAGACATCCATTTTCAGTTCAGAATCCTGGGCGAAGTGGAGCTGGAAGCCCTGCCGAGGGTGGGGGGAGTCCAGTGTGTCCGGACCAGAGGCACAGTGCCAGTGGTCCATCTGAGACTGTTGGATGGCCAGTCCCCCAACCAAGGGCCTCTCGGTAAAGCCTGTTATTGGAAAGTTCCCTCTCCCCTGGGCTGGGGAGCCCAGCCAAGTCCTTTAATGTGGCTGTGGGAGTGGGGAGGGCGTGCAAGAGGAAGAGAAGGGGAGGGTGGTAACGGGAAGACATTTGATCTCAGGGCTACCCCAAACACACACACACACACACACACACACACACACACACACACACACACACACACACACACACACACACACACACACACACACACACACACACACACACAGGAGGAGTGGGTTTTCCTTTTAATGCAAACTATTGCAACAAAAAATAGAGAAAGGGAGGAGGGGAATGTTAAGTCTTTTTTTTTTCTTCTGCTCTCCCCGAAGTCACACAAAGAGCAAGAACAGGGTGCCACTTGCTGGGTCTGGGTTATTTACAGGCCCAAGATGGTAGGGCATGGAGCAGAAGAGCAGGAGTGAACTTTCAGAATTTTGACTGTTAGCTCTGAAATGATGCCTTGGTATCTGGAGTTTCATCTGACACAGTGGGAGCTATGAAAAACCTGGCCTCCCATGGGCTAAAATAAAAAGGAGGGGATGTGAGAGGGAATCCAGAACCCACACCAGCTCCTTAGACTTCCTCCTCTTTCCTTCTCATCTCCAGCTTATAGATAATCTGGTAGCCATCATCCCAGGCATAGAGTTGGCGCTCCCGGGGGTTATAGCGGAGGCTGGCATGTGCACCGTATCGACGGGGAAAGTAAGAGAGTGCCGCCCGTTCAGGGGTGAGGGTACCACTGGCATCAAAGGAGCACTGGATGCGGGCTCGACTGGCAGGGCGTGTGTTATAGACGACGTAGAGGGTTCCACAGATGACAAAGGCAGCCTCGGCATTCTCCCTGGGACACGGTGTGTCCCACTGCTGCTCTGTGTCTAGTGTCTGTGGATCCAACTTAGCCAGACACAGGTGCCTGTCATCCTCGCGGGTGGCGTAGACGGCCCACAGGCCCTCCTCGTCAGCTGCCAGGTCGATGTAGGTGTCTGCTGTGAGCCCATATGGGGGTATCAACCCCTCTGCTGGGAACACCGAGCTGTCTACCACAGTTCGGTTGGCCAGGTGGAATTTGATGAGCTGCAAAGTGTTCAACCCACCGCCCCCTCCAGGCCCTCCAGGAGGCCTCCGGGCGTAATACAGAAAGCCATCATATACCAGCTGCCCAGTGCCCACCCAAGGGAAGGGCACTCGCACTCGGGATGCCTTCCGGGCTGCCATGGCCAAGGTGAAGTCCCGCAGCCTTGGGAAGACAAAGGCTGTGTCATTCAGCGTCCCATCTAACACGTATATCTTCTCAGTTGGCCCCATCGGGTCCTTGGTCCACAGACCAGCCGGGCCACCGAACCGTTTCAGGATCTTCATGGATCTCACCTGGGAGATGGTGTAGCCGCAATCTGGTGGGGGAGGAGCACAGGAAAAGGAAATAAGAGGCGGAAGTCGGATACCTTTGGCAGGAACTCCACCCACCAGTGCGGGCTATGGGGAGAATAAGGGTAGTCACTTGCCCAGTGGAGGTCTACACTCTTGGGGGAGACTAAGACATGCAGGGTATGCCACAGAGGCCTGGGTCCCCAGGAAGTCACTTTAGTAGACCCGTCACTCCAGCAGTTGGAGTCACAGTGGACAAAGAGGACCAAGGGATAGGACAGGGAACATGAGGGCCTGCTCTAACATCTTTTTTTTCTTTTTTTTTTACCTGTTACCATGTCATACTTCTCATTTCTTCTGCCCTTGCCTTTGGCCTCAGGGCCTCCAGTCCCCTTCTCCTCCAGCTCCACACAGGGCAGAGCTGGGTTCTGGGTTTCCAGATAGTCAACCTCCCGCTCCAGACGGTCCACCCTCCCGGAGATGGTGTCAGCCTCGGTTCTGAGCGCCTCCCGCTCCTTCTCCGCCGCTTCCAGCAGCGGCAGCATCTTGTTCTTGAAGTCCCGCAGCTCGGCGGCGTGCCGACTGCTCTGGTCCTGGCACTGGGCCAGGCGCTCCTGAAGGGACGGAGGGATCGGGAGAGAAAGAGCTGCAGGATTACAAGTCCCATGCAGGAGTGGGGAGGCCCAAGCAAGGGAGTCAGGAATGTGAAAAAGAACAAACTTGAGCCAGTCTTTGACAGCCCATCCACTCCCAACAGAAAAGGAAACCAGATGTCCAGAGGTGTTAAGTGTGCAAACAGGCCAGCCCGGCCTCACCTTGGTTCCGAGCCTACCCCAGCCTCCCCACCCGCTGGAGAGGGGTCCCTCCTGCCCCATCCAGTTCTTGCAGGGACTAGGATGTTACAGCCATGACAATGCTTTCAAAGGCAGCAAGCTGCAGATTCCCTGGGAAACTCCACTTCAGCAGAATCATCTGCTCCTCCAGCACCCCAATCCTGGCTCCCGTTTCCTCGTTGTCCCCTTCCCCCACCTAATCCCAACGGGTCTGTTTGCTTTAGAATTGCTCTGTGCGGCAGGAGAGGACCTCTACATGGAGGATTCACTCGTCAGGATAGACTTTTCTGTAGGTTCTTGCAGCCTCCCATCCTGTCACCCCAGATGCCTGACAAATCGGTTGAATTAACACAAGCCGTGGAGTCCTTCCCGGCTGGGCTACAGGAGAAAGCAGTCCCTCACCTCTAAGGCAGCTAGTCGGCGTTCCATGTACTCCACAAGGTGGTGCTGCTGTCCTTGAAGGGGTCCTGACCATGACAAAAGGAACAAGAGGAGGAAAGGAGCGCTGGGTCCCATGGCAGCCTGGAGAGTGGGACAAAAGAAGGCAGAAGTGTGTTGGGCCTGGCCTCTTCCCCTCAAGCCCGTGGGCTGGCTGGGGAGGCGGGGTGGGGGCGGGGCCTTCTTTCTGATCTCCCTCACTACTCTGGAATGCTTTCCCAGTTTCTTCACAACCCCCACCCGCTCCTTTCCATCTAGATTGATCAAACACAGATGGTCCACTACACAGCAGCCAGGAGCCCAGCACCACCCGCCTGGGCTGCAAGCATCCCAGGAGCCAAGAGGCCAGCCTCTGGGCAGTCACTCAGGAAAAGGAGCTAGCTGGCTGCAGGAGGTTGACCCCCACCAGACAACAGCAAGCTCTACTCCTCAACTTTAGGAAAGTGCTTCCCAGGCTGCTGACTTAACAAACTGTCTTCCCTTCCCCACAGGAACAAAACAGGATTTTTTTTACTGCCTCATTCAGTGGAAGCCTGCAAGGGAGAGGAGGGTAAAGTTTGAGGGGAGCTGGTAAGAAGCACAGCTTTCAAGTCAATGAACTTTTTATAGCTCACTGGCGCCACCTTGTGCCAGGCACATGGTGCTCTCTTGCAGGATCAACAGCAATCAAGCAAGCCTTGGACTTCACCCCATGTGGAACAACTTCCCCAGAGCAAGCCAAGGAAACTGAATTTATAGGGGGTTTCATAATTAAAATGCAGACTTCCCCACGGACTACCCAGTTATCTTAGGGCCCATGCCAGTCTCCCTCATCCCTTCTCCATCTATCTGTTTTTTTTTGAAAGAGAATAAGGCAGATCAAGATAAAGCAATCACAAAATGTTAGTGAACTGACTTGATTACCTGCAAGTGAGAAGAGCAGCTCAGCCAATCTACATGTTTCTTGTTTTTATGCCCCTTCCCTTAAAAGCATTCTGGGATACTCTTCTCAAATTGAGGCCCATTCACATCAACTTCCATTATTCAGAGTGGGAGACAAATTTGTGCCCTGCAGTCTAAGGCCACAGTCTCATGAACCCTCACAGTGCTACTACTGAAAGAAAACAGACCACGGATCGTTTCCCTGGGCTATGGTCCAAGAAGTCTCTCCTGGTGTTTCTCCTACAGCTGCAGAAGACCAAATGGCTACAGGAAAGTAGACACCTGGCCAGAAACGTCATCACAAGATGTCAAATACAGAGTATTCATCCAGAGATCTGCAGTCAGTAATCTAGATAAATCCTTCTTTATCCAGACAAATCTTTAGGATAAAAAGAATCTATTCAGAGGTGATCCTTCCCCCAAAAGGACCACATGTCTAACAGTGCAACTTTCAAAGGTGGGGTGGGGCAAGCATCTTCTGCTAGGGACTTGGTTTCACTCTGCTTCTTCAGATGTCTGGTAAGAGACGCCAGGAAGCAAATTCCACCTCTTCCAGAGGGTGAGAGCCCGATGGTCCCGCACTTCACCTCCCCATCCCCACCGCGGAGGCCTGCAGGGAGAAGGCAGTTGTCTAACACTCTGCTGACGACCAGACAGCCGCAATAGCCTTGCTCGCTCCAGAGAAGTCCTTTGTCGATCTCGTAAGTATCCCATTAAGGAAGTCAAAAGCAGTCACGTGAGTCAGAAAACTTACTCATTTTATTGATGCATTGCAATTGCTCTACATTTTACCATATTATGTAGAAAATACTGAAAATACAAGCTACTTTGTAAAACCAAAGACAAACATTGAATCCAAAGATAAACTATGTTTTACACAATGGACCCTTTTCCCGTAGTTAGTATTAAATTTTAAATATCTATTTCTTTTGTTAAGATGATTATTTTACATACTCCCTAAATACATCTGCAATACAAACATAGCTCAGTAATTCTCAGAAACTATCTGTTTCTAGAGGCTTGTTGTAAAAGGAAGCGCACAACCAGAAAAGGGAGAAAGCAAAAAAAGTCTAAATCGCACACAATAACTAGCATATCAAATACATTTAATAAAGTAGGAATTCCATTGCAATATCAAGGATTCGAAGCAGAAATACTAACATTACATATAATGTACATATAATGTACTGCTACATGTAGTGAGATTATTTGTCAAGCTGAATTGAAACCACACATTATATAAAGTTTAGCAACAAACAACCACATAGACATGCTGCACCATTCATCAGTTGAAAACAAATCGAAACAGGAAGCAGGTTCGGGCCATTCCTGTCAGTGAGAGCCAATTTCACTTCCTAGTCTAAAACAAATCATCTCAACTTGTGAATTTTTGCATAAGAAATGCTGAGTAATGCACACATTTCTGTGCTTGCCTGGCTCCTGCAGTCAAGCTCGGCCCCTCTAGTGGAGGACGAGGAAATGAGCGATCACAAACGCAGGCTCAGAATGGTCAGGACTGCTTGAAGCGCAGTTCTCCTTCTGGGGATGGTAGGTAGCTGAATAGGGTGGGATCAGCTCCTGGGAGTGATCTAGCGTCCGACGAGCCTGATGCTTCACTACTCCCCACTTCCTCTGTCACCCAGAAGGGAAGACACTGGAGACCCTAGTTCTGAGAGGACTTACATCAAATTCTTACGGTTTCCCCCATGCTGCCCGGGCCAGCTGTGTTTTCGGATCCAGGGACAGAATCTAAAGCCACATCAAACACATACACATTTGGCAGACACGGGTGAAACTGTATCTTGGTAAATCTGAAATGTCAATCTGCAGTCTGGCAGAAAATCTGCAGTTTTTCTGAAGACAGGCTGCTAGTTAGGGTGACTAAGCAGCAAACACAAGCTCTTGGTTATTCTCTTTTCCCACAGAATGAAGGCTCCTATCTTAAATGGCATCTACTTGGTGGAAGCAGGCAGGGGGATCTTCTCTTCTTGCATCTCATTTTATACAAAAACAATACATTATGTTCCTTGAGGAAGAAAAAGATAAGGAACAAAAATTGTCTCCCTTAGGAACTAGACATGTGTTTGAACCAGGAAGTCAGAATGCGCTTGGCAAAAAAAGGTGGCACAAAGATCACGTGTTGACCAGTAAACAATTTAACAGTAGCAACAGAAATCATCAAATTGTCTGTTTTGACCAATATGGTGCTGAAAATACATCGCAGCAGAACAGTTTAAAGAACCACGCACACGCACACATATGTGTATTTCTGGGTAGACTGCACCGACTGCCCACCCCATCTTGGAAGCCCTTCCTCCTTACAATAAAAAAACTCCAAATACTTAGCTCCTCGGTGTTCAACCCGGTTCAGAATTTGCTGACCAGGTTCCACGAATCTCCCATCTCCATCGGGCACCTCCTTGACACCATCTCCATAGAGAACCAGTCCTAGAATTACTCCTCATGTATACAATTTCCAGCTCAGATGGAACACATCTGCATGTTAGGGTTAACCTTCTTCTTCGTGGCCTTTGTAGGCAGGAATGTTCCCAGTCCCCGTCCCTTCTACCTGCCCCAGATCCGCACAGGAGCTGAGAGTACAAGGACAATTTCACAGCTTGAAGGGCCCCAAGAATAAAAGTTATAAGAAAGAAACTTCAAAAGCCCCGATGATGCAACAAGTTTCAGTTCCTTCTTAGTATCCTTCACTGGTTAAGAAAGTTTGCTGTGAGTTCCTTGAACCAGCAGCACCACAAACTCTTCCTCCAGTGTGGGGGCTATGGTAAGCAATACAACAGGCTCTTTGGTATAAACACATCTGTTAAATTTCTTTTTCAACAAGCAAATATTTTATTATCAACGTTAACTATTTGCAGGAAGGACTGCCACATGGGAAAAAAATCGCATTCTAAAAGTGATTGCACATACTTTTAAAAAATGCATATTTAATATTGGCTTCAATCCTCTCACCCGCTTCCCGAATTCTCACAAAAGCACGGTAGCAACGCACAGTGACAGAGCAACGCAGGGAAAATGCTTCTGTGAGAATTCAGCTCAGAACCCAAAGTGGAAACGGGAAATGGGTAGAGGTTGCGGTAAAGAAAAGCTGCTGTTTTTATTCTTCCAAGTCAGCAGGGAAACTGAGAACAATGCATTTACACAACACAGCTACTACTCCTGTCCCAATACATCCCAGTGAACTGCTTAGGGTTCACGGGGCTTGCTGGTCCATCCTAAGGCAAGCTCACTGTAAACGCTATGAACCACTACATTGTCATATAAGGCACTACAATAAGGGGAGGAAGAAGGGGGGAAAAGACACACACAAACAACTCCTCACCAGACACACCTGTGCAAAACAATTCCAAGGGTTTCCTCTCCTTGCAGGCAATGCCCCTGCTCACTCAGCACTACAGTAATATGCTCTAATATAATTTCAATTAGTTCACATACATTCCAACAAGTATCAGTTCATTTTGGTTTAAATACAATGGAGACATCAATTCCATCTCCGGGGGTAACACTGGAGGATCAGATACACACTAAATACACAATTCAAGTGTAATCACTACACGTTTGATTACAAATAACATTTGGGGTTAGCAGGAAAAATTGCTTGTTATATTTTTCTAATCGATATGTACATATTTAATTATGCAAAATATTAAAACACCACCATTACAAAACTGCTAAAATATTTTTAAATTCAGTAATAAATTTTTAAAATATTTTTTGCAATTCCTACATGCACTTATTACATAAGTTTTAATAAGAGAGCATTCAATTTGCTGCTGGCATACAAAGAAAACTACTTAAAAGTATAAAAGCTATACACAACGTTCTTACCTGGTTTCAGATTCTTTAGCTTCTCCCCAAATAAATCACATAAAACAGAAGGGGAGATGAGGAAAACACAGGGATGTATTATTGAAAATTCATACTACCTTTAGGCAAAGCTCATCAATACCACCATTTCATAATAGAAAGATATTTTGCATATAATACAATAACCACCATACAACAATAACCACCTTAATGGCTTTTCCCATGACATTTAAGCTGAATCAGAGAGAGGAAAACTTTAAAATAACTTAAAAAAGAATTCATGGTGCTCATTTTAAAAGATGACTTGGCACTTTCATGGTAGGTATGGATTGGATTCTCTCACACACTATGTTACCAGAAAGTGGTGAACGGCCTTTCTAACACCACTTTAATATACACAGGAGCAACTGAGGGAATCCTAGGAGTAACACCGAATAAAACATACCACCAGTTTTATAAAACTGATCATTAGGTATGATACAACATGGGAAACAAAACTAAAACATCAGTCTACATGCTTCATAAACAAAGATAAAATTTTGAGGAGAAATGCCTGATAGTACAGAATAGCCTTGAATAAGCTGCTTTCCAAATAAAATGGGCAGATAAGCTTGGCTTTCAAATAAAAAAGTAATGATTTTCCTCTTTTGACTTATCAGACTTTCAATCCTTCTATCAGCATTTTTCCTCTGATACAGTAAAACAAAGAGCGACTTAAAAGCACTTATAGAAATCAAGTCAGAGAGACAATCTCATTTTCAAAGGGCAACCTCAGAATCATTTCTCTTCCTCAGTCACTGCAGAAGATGGGAATCTAAACTTTTTCAATGCCAGAAATGTTGTCACAAAAATAAAGAATTAAAAAATAGGGCAAACTTTGGGAGACTACAACAATGCAGTCAACACTGAGACAGGTTCCCCAGAGAAGAACCTTCTGCTTCTGCTTCAGTGGGCCCCTGCAGAACAAGTTGCTGGCTAAAGAGTTTCAGGAGAGAGTAGAGGAGGAGCTCACCACAGCCATTTTCAGCCTCTCAGGGACTGGGCCGGCAGCCACGACTCCTCCTCCCTCATGCTCACCAACTACAAGTAGGAATACTGGCTGATTTTGGTCGGACTCAGCGGGTACCCAGTGTAAATTGCTGAGCCTCGAGAGGACCCAATGTATGACTGGGTGGCAAATTGGTGTTGGTACTGAGCAGGGGCCACACTGGCAGAAGTGAGGAGGCTGGGCCCCACGCTGACAGGAACTTGGTGCACCAGAGTGCTTGGATGGGTGGTATAGGCTGTGGCATGCCTTGAAGAGCCCTGGGGAGAGAAGAGATGAGCAATGGAGCTGGTGGAACCCAATGCAGCAGCAGAGGTGGGGGCAGCATACGTATACAGGTGAGGCTGGCTTGGCAGGTGAGCAGGGGCTGGGGCCAGATGTGGGTGCCCCGTCGAGTGCAGTGGGCTGCCATGCTGAAAGGCGTAGGGGGCTTGGGAGAGTGGGGCCACAAACGCCTGCTGCCTGCGGGGGGCAGGGTTGCCACTTCTCTCCTGAGAGGCTGGAGCTGAAGATGACTGCTGGTTCTGGAAGGAGGAAGAAGGAAGTAAGGAATATTTTTTTTTTAATTTTGTTTTTTTCATAATGATTACATGGTTGATCAAGGTGGGAAGGATTGAGCTTTAAGGGAAAATCGGGTGAATTCATTGCTTCCAAATTTGCTATTTTTTCTTGTTGTTCCTGGGAGTGAGGAATCTTGAGGTCACTGGTTCAGGGTACCAGAAACCCAGCTGACAGTTAAGGTTCTGACCTGTGCTTGTTTCTGGACTGCCATGGTCCAGACTCTCCCAAACTGGCCATGAATGCTGTTGGCCACCCATCACTCTGCTTCTTGGAAAAACAAATCCTAGACAAGATCAGATAGCTGAGGAAGGAGGAGAATCAAGAGGTGACAGGGCTGCCCACTCCTACAAGTTGGAACTTGTTAACTCACCCTATTCTGGCATCAGGCAATTTAAATTTTTCCTAACCTTTCTTGCCATTGTTTGCTTTTGTTCTCCTCTAAGTTCTTCAAATCTCTCTTGAATTGTGGCGCCTAAAACAGATGCACTACCTCATACTTGCACGTGTTCTCTCCCTCATACACACACAGTTAACATTCTCTATCAGCACTCACTACTGGTAGTCATCATACATGTATGAGAACTTAAGTGAACACAGGATAAAAGGACCCTCCCCACCCCACTGGAGGATCACACAGCTGAGGAAAGAGGGAAGGCAGATCCCGGGGCACTAGACAACAGATAGGATAGAAGCAGTTGATTCAATTAAGCAGCTAGGACACTCTCGCTGTCTCGATTCAATAAACACTGTGAGCTCAGGTTATTTATGGCCTGGGAGATAAAGGGAGAGAATCAGGTCTCAAAGCATGTGGTAGTGTAAAACAAGGCATGTTTAAAAACATTGTAGGCTCTTTTTCAATTTCTGACACTTCTCCAATCTTCCAGTATAGACGAAGGAGGTCCCATGAAAAACACGGGAAGTGCATCCAAGCACACCTACACAGCACATGCAGATATGACACAGGCCACAAAACACCAAACTGACACAGAAAGGGCTTCATTTGGCTTTATTTGGCAATCCAGCCCGAAGCAAGATTCTCTACAGAGTAACAAGTTGGGGGGGGGGGCCCAAACAGAAGTCAGCAGCCCCTAGCGCTTACCTGGCTAAGGTTGAGTGGCTGGGCTGCGTTGGTCCCCCCACGCTGAGCTCGATACCCTGTAGGAGTAATACAGCATCCAGATGACTGCCCACTCACTGAGGCCACTGGCTTGGTCTTACTGTTCAGGAGACCTAAAATGAGTCAGGACTCAGTTGTGAGTGAGTCAGCAGCGCTCAGCTAACTTCTCCTGGCATATCACTAGGTCCCCATCTGTATAACTTTTCAAGATGAAGGTCTTACATGCATCCTACTTGTTTGGTTACTTTTACACTGGAAGAATGAAATCTATCTTACCCATTTCTTTGCTCTTGCTGCAAAATCTCCAAATGGTTCATTTAAGTAAATATTATCTAACCTCCTATTAGATACAAGAAACATTAGAAATACATACATTAAAAAAGACCGAGTCCCTAACCCAAAGGAGGTTATAGCTTAATGCAACGGGTTCAACAAGTACACAATGGCAGTGTGAAGCTGAGAAAGATGCTGGTAGTTCGCAGATTTAACTGTCATTAGAGGCTTAACGGCAGGCAAAATTCCATCTTGTTGGGTATTTAGTCTTCAAATTCTAAGCAATTACAACACAACTAAATACAAAATGGCATTTCCTTCTGCATTCTCCGTAGAAAAACTGGAGCATTTACTCAATGACTTATGAATAGTCCATATACTTGGACCTAACAGTTGAGGTCCTAATAATCTTCCTCCACAGCTTGGCAACAGAAGCTCTATGTTGACTGCAATGGGACTAATTCTAAGGAGAACCACAGTGAGGCTTAACACAATACCCTCAAGTTAGAACTCAGCTTATTCCTATGGCAATAACATAACCCAAATGCAAGTACAGCACAGATGACTACACGGACACCAAACGTTCACTTCCCATCCTTGGTATAAAGTTGACAGTGCAAAGCGGCGGCCTGGGCAAAAGCTAAAAAGGCCAAAAATGTACATGCCCCTGCAAACTAATTCCCTCTTCCTCCTCCTCCTCCTCACTGGATGTGGAGGTTCCAAAGCTTCGGCTCTTAACTCACTGTAAACTGATCATCTTCAATGGAAACTTTTATGAGCAAGAAGTGAACTTCTTTCCCCTTAAATTAGAAGCAGGGAATGTGGCCACAGGCTGCCTGCAAAATCATTTGGTCTGGCCCTGCCAAGGCAACTACATTCAGGATTACAAAGTCAATAAATCTATAGTGGCCTAATCTTGAAGTAGATCATTTTGTGTGGCCTGTACATGTTATAAATACACAAATGGCCCTTAGCAGAAAAAAGGTTCCTCGTGCCTGCTGAGCCATGAAAATTTGGATTTGTTACTGCAGGTAATATTATCGAACAAATGTAACTAATGAACCAGGGAAAACACAAGACTAGTATTTAATAGAGAAAAAATATGGAGGTGATTAAGTTGATAGTAAAAACAGTAATAGCATCATTACTATGGCATTGGTTGAAAAAATATAAGACATACTATTTTCTAAAACACTTGTGTGGTCCAAAATTATCAAGTTCTGTTCACTTCTACATTGCCAATCCAGAATTATTTGTTCAAATCTAACAACCTAATCATTTTCTCCACCACACGAATTGCCCACTTCCTCCCATCAAAAGTTTATGTGTTTTTAAGATTACAATTTCACTTTCATATTAACCCAATTTTTTTTTTCTTTAAATCATGGCCAAAAATAACTTCACAATATAGGGAACTGATATCTGAATTAAAAGTTAATCTGTGCTTTAAAGAGTTACCTATGCCATTGGTCCCTATGACTGTCATAAGTAGATTGAAGCTGTAGAGATAAAGGTGCACTTACCTGATGCCTGGGTTGCTACTGTGCAGTCACCCAGCTGAGCTTTCAGTGGAGGCACAATGATGGTACGGGTGCCAGTGCCATCTGCCACAACTCTGCCTGGCCCCTCCAGAAGAGCCCCACTATTGCCCCGGAGAGCACTCAGGGTATCAGTGGGATATGGGCTACTCGAGGAAGAGTCAGAGTCGGGGGAATCATTGACAGTGACATAGCTGATGACGTTAGATCTTGGCTTTAGGCCAGAGCTGAGGGGAGGAAAAATCACATCAAAGTTTAGTCGTCCTTTGTAAGCAATGTTCTGAACAGCCTCTGGCCTTCTGATGATGATGATGAGAATAATGCAAATCGTAACAACAGTAAGCTTCGGAGAGTTCACTACATGTCAAGCACTTCTCAGGCTCAACACACATCTTGCTCAACCCTTACAACAATCCTAACCAGTAGATATTATTATCCTCATATTGCAATTCAAGTTCAAGCATTAAATAGTGAAAGCAGGATTCAGATACAGAAGAGATTCCAGAGTCCACACTTCTAACACCTATTCCACATCTTAGCCATTCCTATTTAGTCATTTCATTATTTATCACTTGCTCTCTATGCTCAGACCATGGCACCTATACTTCTCTTCATGGTTGGGGTTCTGAGATGAGCAGTTCAGTGGGAGGGATACCCAAAGAAACTTTGTCTGAGGTGCCCAGGCCTGATTCTTGTGTGTGCCACAGTCCGTCACCCCAATCAGCTTATACACATGCTGGTGGCTGCAATTGCTGGGTCAGTTCTGGTTCCAACCCGGCCTTCCACATGAAACAATGAGTGTTGCAGTCCAGCCTAATTCTGTCCAGCTCACACTTGGCCCTCACACAAACCAGTGGGTGCTACAGCTTAGTTGGGGCGACTCCCCATAACCCCCCACCAGTCCACTCCCACAGATTGCTCACGTGCCAGGGGTTGCTCTGACCCATCTTGGCACAGCCCCTCACCTGTCTTGGCCTTTGCCTTACATGCTGTGTCCTGGCCTCCCTGGCTCATGCAAACCAGCCAGTGTAAGAGCCTCGCACAGCATGACCTGTGCTCCATCCTGATTTCTGTTCTTGCTGGTGAGCTAAGGTTTGCTCGGTCCTGCCCAGTCTATCCCCTTTGCCTCAATACTTTTATGGGGAGAGAACAAAAAATTCTACAACACCTGGTCAGGCTACCACTTAACTAACTCTAGCTTTTCCTTTTTAATAAGCTTGAGTCCACTTAAAGTAATCATGCTGATTATATATACCCATTAGGCCATTACCGTTACTTTCCTTACAGGAATGTTGCTTTTCCCTTCCCCAAATCAGTTCAATAACCGCTTTAAAACTTATTTCAGGGCCAGCGACATTCCATATGAGCATAGTTCCATTCCAACTCCATGTTTATAGAGTGGGAAAGTGGTAACGGTTTGGCTCTAATCCTTGGGAGAATGGAAAGAAGCTCTTGGCTTTCAATTTCTGATCAGCCCAGCTCTGGCTATTTTGACAATTTGGGAAGTGAATCAGCAGATGAAAGATCTCTCTCTTAACACTTTCAATTAAACTAAATAAATCTTTAACACAGGAAAAAAAACTTTTCTTGTCAGTTGTCTTATAGACAGCCTCTTTGAACCGAAAGGCTCTAACTTAATTCTAAGTTCCTTCTAACCAATAAATAAACAAACTCAAATTTATTAAATTAAATTCAAATTTATTAAAATTTTATTTGTATGAATCCTTAAAGTCTAAGTCACTTTCATGTGTGAATGCGACCTCCTCAAACACAAGAAGGCTTATTTCCTTCTAAATGCTAACACCAAAAGCCCAATAAATATAACCCAGAACAATCAAGGCAACTGACTACATTAATGAGATGTGCAGCATAGTTCAAGTAGTCACTTACTCTTCCTTAACTGCCCAGTACCTTGATACAAGCTCTTAACAGGGCAGTTTACTAAGAGCAAGTAGCCTAAGGAGAGTAATATGGCACTTAAATTAGTTAGCTTTCAGCTCAGGTAACAGAGGAAGAAGGAAGCTCTAAGTAGAGTCATACCTCTTTCAAACAGAACTTTTCAGAACAAACTGCAAAGCTTTCAAATAACCTCTTCTCGCCTACTCTTTCTGTTTAGGCTATCTATTTTCAGACTATAAAGTTCCTTGGAAGAAAGCAGTAATTCATAATACAATGTGCATTCCAAGCTAGAGCAGTCCGTCTACTTATATCAATCTGCTCTCTAATGTATCTGAAAGCATGAATTAACCAACCAGTATCTGAACGTTTATACAAAACTTGGCAATTCCTGGTTATGGGCATCTTTCCAAAACACCTTTTTTAACCCTTTCTCACAGCCAAGACTTGATTTATTTGCTGGAAAATAATGGTCTAAGACCAAACAAAGCCAGGGAACCATTCACCTGTCTCACCTGTTAGGCTTGTATTTGTTGTCCTCTTCCTCATCAGTGTCACTACGGATAGTGATGACACTCACAGGAGGGCTGGGAGTGTCTGGAATGATGATTGGCTGGTGCTGATCTTGGACAGGGACTAGGGAATTATAAGACGATGTGGTGCGGAGAGGACTGCTCCCAACCAGAGAAAAAACTTGGGAAGGCAGAGTTTCCAGAGAGGATCTGTAGGAAAGTTCACAAGGAAAAATGTCAGTCTTTAGCCACTTAGATTGTACAGCTTTTCTTCAACTTGCATTCTAACATGCTCTTTGACCACAAAAGTTCCAATGAAAAGTAAACTAATCACTTTGGCCAGAATTTCCAAGGGACAAAACACCAAAATACAAAGGCTTTTCTATTTTCGCATGCCATTTTGCCATGGTTAAATTTCACTAATAAACAGAAAAAATATCATAAAGAAAGCCCAGATTCCAGGTGATAGGGCACCATATCATTACAACTAGGACACACCTGGGCTGCATGCACAGATGTAAAGGTTAGATCTTCCTCAGTTCAGTAGGTACTTGCTGTTTCCTATCAACAGCATCTACACCACATTTCCAATGCTGGGCAACTTACATCTCCAACAATTTACTTTAAACACTGGCTTTACTGCAGACTTACTTGGAAGAGACTGCAGCAGCCTGCTTATTCTTCTTGGAAGGGAGGGAACTGGATTGCTGCTGTCGGACAACATGGGCAACACCAACATTGAGGGGCTGAGCAGTGGCCAGCGTCACATGGTTAGTCAGCAAGGATGGCTGCTGCATGATGGTGCTATACTGGTTGCCGTGAGAGTGGGCATTCCTGTGCCAAGAGAATGAAACAAACAAGTGAATCCTGAAACCACTAGGAACTGGGACCAAACAGGTAGTCAAACAACCAAAAACAGTTACTTTTTAAAAGTGAGGCACCTGAATTATATACAAAGCTTTAGAATCTCACTATGTGACTTCCTCTACTCCTTTCTTTGAACTAGGAGAAAATGATTTCTGACCTTAGAACTCACTATTTTCCTGTAGTCAATGTTCTTACAATGTCACCTCCTAACCCGATATAGGTTCTTGGAGAATTTCAAGCATAGATAGATTTTATTTTCTTCTTGGTTTCTTCATATATCAAGTGCTCCTACTCCCAAGGAATCTGCCCTAGCAAACCCCACACAGAGAAACACGGGGCACTTGCCTCCAGTCGGCCAGCTGTTGGCCACTCCCCAGGGCCTCTGGAATCACTGTGGCAGGCTGGACAGAGTTGTGTAAAGCTACGCCAGGCAACTGCTGCCAAGTTGAAGGCAGGAGAATTTGTTGAGTTCCTCCAGGCCAAGCCTGCTGTAAGGAAACACACAGAAAAAGATCCAGACTTGACTCATTCTTGACTTTTTCCTGTTTTTGAAAGAAAAATTCTTATCTTAGAAAAAGTGACTTGTAGATTGTTAACTTGCAGAGATTTAAAAAAGAAAGGTCAGAGGGGCTCTGGGCTAACAAGTCTTAGGAAAGGGGAAAGGGAGCATCCTGCTATCTCAGGTCGCCTCCATAACCTGACCGCCAGAGCAGTCAGATCCCTCCAGCCAAGTTTCTGTTACACTGTGGAGAAAAGCAGTCTGAAAGTTCAGAGCTAATTTCTGGTTATAAGGGGAGTATCATTTGTGCAAAAACTGCAAAATATATCCCTAGAGAGAGTTAAGCGGACTCCCTGGGGACTAAAATCAGGAATTTGAACATCTAAATGCCAATCAGATATCAGATCTAATCAAGACATCAAACAAAGGACAACATCTGTCCCTTGCTTAAAAGGGTGTTGTTTACAATACAGAGCTAGGAGAGGATCACTAAAGGCTGAAGTCTTTGGTAAACCAAGTGCTTCCCAGGAGGAACAAGCAAAAGCTTAACTTGTAGCCACATGAGGAATTAAAAGCTAAGACACTAAGTAAAACACCTTTGATGCATAAAGCAGTTCACTTGTAAGCTTCCTAAAAATGTTTTAATAGTTTGCAGAAGCATTCAACATAAAACTAATCACTAAAAATACATATTATTTCTAGCTTTTAACAAGCCATGTCATTTGCAACAGACTGAATATCAAGTATATTTTCTGGAAAAAAAAAGGAACAGATTTGAATTTTTTTAAAAACTTGAATTCTGCAGTAAAATTACCTACAATGGTTGGGTACATATGGTTCTGTTTCATGAATTTGAAACTTCAAGGTCATCAAACACTATTTTTAAAATATTTTGCAAGTTAACAGATCCACTTGTTACAAATATTGGTTCCCAACAAGAAGCCTTCAAAGCAGAAAAACTGCAAACATGTCTGTTACCATAAGCAGAATTTCAAACAAAACAAAAACAAACATAAGAGAAGTATGTTAAGTCACACCATGCGTCTTTCCATAAGCCAACACCTGCACAAGACAAAGTATGTAGTTTAATACAAAGCAAGAAAAAACATTCCAACGTGAGGCAGAAATCTGGCGTTCCAAGCGACGAACTGTTTTGACAAAGAAGAACAAAAATATGCAAAGCTTAGCAAATGACTAGAGCAAGCTTATAAAAGTAGCAAAGGGAAGTGTCAACTAAACTAATATTCCTGATCTCAAAACCACATGTGAGCAGGCTCAACAGTGGCTATGGGTTGGCACAGCAGAACAGCAAGCTAAGCCTCCACATGCAGCACCAGTTTGAGTTCCAGCTCCTCCACTTTCAATCCAGCTCCCTGCTAAAGTGCTTAGAAAAACAGGAGAATGGCCAAGGTTTTGGGCCTCTTTTCCACCCGGTGGACCCAGAAGAAGCTCCTGGCTTCAGACCAGCCCGACTCTGGCTTTTGGGGCCTTTTGGGAAGTGAACCAGAGAATGGAAGATCTCTCTGTCTCTTTCTCTTTCTGAAAATGAATTTTAAAATAAATAAGTAACAGTCGCTACATCGCTCCAGTTAAAAATACACATAACCCCTTGCATTCAAGTTCTGTTCATGGGAAAACTAACCCAGAAGTGACAAAGACTTAAAAACTGACAACAGAACACCTTCCAATCCAAGCATATCTACAGAAGTGTTTTACTCACACTTGGGGGGAAAAAAACGCGTTGAATCCTGAGGAATATCAGGATTCAATAATTGATAACTATTTCCAAATGCTTGCCTAACTTTTATTTTAAATGAGGAAACAGACAGCCAATGGATAATTCTAACTCTCCCAATTTGACAAAATACATCCGAAGATCATTCTTAAAGTTAAAATCCTAAAATAAACCTTACAATCCAGTTTGTTTTCCTTATCTCTAAGCTCAATACAGTTGTAGCCACATTCACGAGTTCTTCTCCATGACTTTTAATAACAAAGATTATATTTGCATAGTCTGTCATACCTTCACCTTTGTATATTTATTCATAAAATTTCTCCCACAAGTCCTAAAAAATGACACCTTTAATTTCAACCAACAATATGTTCCAAAACACATTCTGAAAGCAATGTCTTTAAATGAAGATGCAAGCTGCCAGTGATCACCTAGAGCAGAAAGCACTATTTCCATGCGCTCACAGAAGGAACATTTACAAACCGTTACAAGTGAGAGCTGCTTAAGCATTTCTACCTGTACCCAAGTTTCATAAGCTTAAAACCGCAAAAACAAAGCTAACTTGCCAAAAAATTCAAATTTTGGCCACCTAGGTACCTGTAGCAAAGCCAGACTGAAGGCCATTTCCTTCATTCTCAAGGATTAGAAGCTAAAAAGGTAGAAACCAGGGAACAGAGCTGAAACTCTTCCAAGGCTAAACACAGAGCTTTTTACCACTCAAGGCTGCTAAGAAGGAACCAAGGATCTGCCTTCTTATAGAGTAACACTGAACATCAGAGTGCAACAGTAGATGCCACAGCAAGTGTCAGGGAAAAAACAACAAGACATTAGAGATAGAGCAAGAACACAGCCACAAGATGGCACATGCTCCCATACCCTCCGCAAAGACTACACTAAAGAACTGCTTTTAGAAAATGAAAAACCAGAAGAAAATAGAACAGAAACAAACAGGATAAAGTAAAAAAATAAAGAAACCAAAGAAACTCTGTTAGTAACACAATCAAGTGAGGGGCATTACCAGTACAGCAGCAGTCTGTTCAACCAGCGCCGGCCGGCCGGCTGCGCAGCTCAGAGTAAAGGGCACCGCATACTGCGGTGCGATGGTGGCTACTTGAGGGTGGAGAGTTGCTACCATTAGTGGTGTACAGCTTCCCTGAAATGTAGATTAGGCAGGTGAGTGAAATAAGCATGGAGGCTGGATTCAGAAGGGGTTTCATTCCCCCCAAGCTATTACCAACAACAAACAGTAATCTCATAAGACATAAAATGCAGGAACCAAACACAACTTTCCCTTCAACTGTGCACAGCACTGGCCCACTAGGAGATCAAGTGTCAATGGCCTAAAGCAAAAAAAGGGATTAGAATCCTTCTTGGGTCTGATTCAGTGGATCAGTTTCATGACACAAAGGCATTTATTAGGAATCCTTCTTGCCACATTCACAAAATAGTTTTGGTTTTCACAAGGGTCTGTGTGTTATAAATCACAAATATTAACATACAGAATTTAAAACATGGTATTTGATGCTATATAAATACTTCATGATTTTTAAGGTCCCCTTAGTTCTATGTTCCATGGCAAGCACATAGTTTTAAAGTTTTAAACAGCTTGAACACCACAAATCAGACACTATTATAGTTTGAAAAACCGTCTAAATATCCTGATAAGTTTCTAAAAGAGTAAAAGGAAGGCAAAATGAAACTTTGAATTAAGAATCAAAATGTTTCACATTTACTCTATTTCTTTACAAGCTGCAAAATTAAAGAGAGAAAGGAAAACATAACAAAAACTTTTCTCAAAAAAATCAAAGGACCATTTGTCAAGTCCAAGGAGACACTAGAAGAGCTGGGAGAGCACGAGAGAGAAGCACCCTATTCCATACGGATCATACAGATGTATTCTTTCAAGACCACTGAATCATGACCCCAGAAAGATCTTACAGGCGAAGTAAACACAAGTATAGGGCTTCAGCATCACTAATGACCACGGTCCTCTGGCCCTTACCTGCGTGAGAACGCCTGACTGAATCTGCAGTGGCTGAGCAGCAGGGGCCTGGGGTACAATGGGCACAGCATTATCCATCCTCACAGGGAATCCAGAATGCTTTGTTGTTGCTTGCAGTCCAGCTGCTGAAACACATCACAGGTTACATGTTCTGGCAGTCTAGAAGCACCGTGTGTTCTGCTGGTTCTGTGGGGTGGCTTTTGGCTACTCTGCTCAAATAATCACAACCTGGGTTTTAGCTCTAGACACTTTAGACACTTAGACAAAGAAATTGTATTCAGATGAGTTTCAGGACATACAAGTTAAACAAAAGGGAGACTAAGTTCCCTGGAAAGTTTTTTGATAAAAGTAACTCTGGTTCAGGGAGATTCTAATTGTTTTTAATGCTACAGAACTTAAAACACAATATACATTAACAGTATGGGAAAAAACTAAAAAATTCACTTAATAAGTTCCATTTAAGTTCCATTGTTTAAATCATTAAGAAGGGAAAATGTGAGAAGTGTTTCTTAAACTATTGTATACAATTATAATTTTTGGTTATTAGTTAAATAATAAGAAAAGTTCAATAATTTATAATCTGTTATCTGTTTCACAAGATGCTGGACCTTACTGCAAAAAACAGCGCAGTTCACAAATTAGTTCACAAAGTCAGTTTTTCAAATCTTTACCTACTAAGCGAACTGAAGAAATTACACCTGGAATAAAAATACTTTAAAAGTAGACATTTGGGCTTACAGGGAACTTGCTTTACTTATTTTAGGAACCTGCTCTTGCCTTTCACAGCTTTCTGTTGAAACTCCTTTGTGGTTAATAGCTAAAAAAGCAAGAGCTCTGCTGTCTTGAAAACATACACCATGTCTTATCTATCTTTTTGTGTATTATTCTCTTAGCATGACACTAAATAAGAAGAAAACAGGGACATCTCATTCTGAGAATAAGAGGGGGCTAACGGCAGCTCTCTTTTCACTAAGACTTGGAAATCTTCAAACTTTTCTCTAAACCTACCCTGATTCAAAACTCGTAATTTACAGAATTTACATTTCTGTTGTTTATAAGCAACTAATGCCTATAATTTTGTTAAATGAGAATATGAACATTTAATTAGAAGATTTCTCAGTGATGTTTTCTAAGTTATCAATCATTTTTTCTTAACATTGCTATAAAGGTATCAAAAGAGCATAACTCAGTGCTGGCACTGCAACACAACAGGTTAAGCCACCTCCTGCAATGCTGGCATCCCACGGGGGTGCTGTTTTGAGTCCTGCTCCACTTATCCCAGCTAATGCATCGGGGAAAGCAGTGGACGATGTCCGAACTACTTTGACTCTGAACCCTCAGTGGAGACCTGGATGAAGCTCACAGCTTCACCCAGGCCCAACCTTGGCCACTGTAGACATTTGGGGAGTGAATCACAAGATGGCAAATTTCTTCCTCTCTGTAACACTGCCTTTCAAATAAATAGATAAACTTAAAAAAAACTCCAATTATAAGGCTGTTATTTTCTGTAAGTCAGTCTTAGGAACAAATAATCCAGAAACATATGAAGAACTAGTAAAATCAAAATTAAAAACACTACATTTAAAAAAAAATGCTTTTTATACAAAAAAAGTAATAAACCCAGATAAAGTAATGAAAAAGTTGCCCGTCATACTTCCTTAGGCAATTTTATCTAGGAAGCTAAGCAACACAAAATTTTTGTCAGTAATCCCAGGACTTATGCTATGATAAGACAGTGTTGCTGTAATAGCCTCCTACAAATTGGTAGGAATTGAGGCAGCAAAACCTAGGAGGAAATGTCCACTAAAACAGTTCGTCCATGGCTCTTGGAGTGGTAAAGTAAGAGATAAAATGACAGAATAAGTTACCACTGAGCAAAATATCTATTTTGGGCAACTGGTAGAGTGGGAAAGCATTATTTATAGTACTGACCTACAAATGTGACTCGAAAGTATTAGACTGCTACAGCATTTAGGTTAACGCTAACAGTCAAGCTAGTTTAAAACCAGCTACTTATTCCTACCACAAATGTAAACAAAGAATCAGCAAACAGTAACACTTTTAGAAGGTTCTCCCTAAACCCTGACCTAAAAAGAATTATAGCTTTGGGTTTGCTATTTAAGCTTTAGTGAACACAGCCCTTTAAGAACCACAGATAAATGAAGAGCGTCAAACTGCCCAGCTGATGATGCTCTAGCCTTTTCTAAATACGGGCACCTTGTGAAAGATCAGACAGCAATAGCAAAGGGGGTAACCTGGAATCCAGCGCTGCTGCTTAGAAACCCACACACAGGAGTGGCTGGCACCGGACAACTCTTCACAGCTATTCTAGTTTAAATTCTGAGAGGCAGTATGGGATAATACTACAAAAAGCCCAAGTGATGAACTCCACTGCCTGATTTCAAATCACGGTTCTGCCACAGTTACTTAAAAGACACTGGGCAAATGAGGAAGCGTGCTTAATTTTCTCATTCACAACAAATTGAGTACAACATGTTTACCATCTTGTAGGGTTATTTGTGAGGAAGAATTAATACATATAAAAGGTATTAGAACATTATCTAGTATAGGTATCATCACTGCTTTAATTTCAAAACTCCCTTTCATTTGGACATTTTAAATTTGCTATATTAGCTCCTTGGGCTATTTAGACTTTCTAGATGGGGAAAAAAAAAAAACCTGTCCAAGGCTTATACTTATTTACCTAATTACCCTCTTCCCTTTCTGCTTCCTTTGTTCACTTCATCCCTTAACCATCACCTGAGAAGCAGCAGAAGACATCAGGGTGCTAAATCTAAACTTGACCCAATGAAACTCACTTTGGAAAAAAGGTGGGAAAAGGCATGGATAATTTGCTATCAGTACAGTAAATCAACCACTCAACATATAGCATAGAAGTTACTATTATGAAACAACATACAAAAAATAATTTGGTAATTTAGGCTAAATGTGCATTTACGGATTGTGCATCTGCTCCTCCGCTCGCCCTGTGGCTCCTCCCTGGTTTACATGGCTATCGCTCTCCTGTCCTCCCGGGAATCTCTCAGTCTCCCCGCCTAGCCCCTCATTGCCTTCAGCTTGCTCCGACGCTGTCAGAAACCAAACAGACAAAAGAGTCATGGTCAGCAAGTAACTGAAGTACAAGAGAAAAATGCTACCTACATCTATTTAAAGTGCCAAGAGAAGCTAAAGTCCTGTTTATTCTCCAGGATTCTTAATATAATGTAACCTTCAAGTGGCTTATGCAATATTTCCCATATTTCAGAAAAAAAATGAACTGGACAAACCATCATGATAACATGAAGGATAGAAATGAGAAAACTAAAATGTTACTGTTCCACAAGGAGTCAACCTCCTTCTTCAGCTCTTTTCTTCCTTTGTAGATGGGCATTTAGAGAACAATATGATTTATAAGCCAACGCAGATAATCTTACTGCCTTCCCCATACAAGCACTTCACATCAATTTTTTCAGTTCAATAAATAATGACCTTCATTCTTGAATGTAGTTTAAAAGGCTTCCATATTTTTAAACATGATTTTTACATTTTAGGATAAAATTGTCACTTACTTGGAACATTATAATGGAAATAAGCCTCAATGTGTAATAACCCAGCTTACCGCACATTTTTCAATGTGCACATTCTGCATAATGAGAGACACATGCTTATACAAGATGCATGATATTGAAACAGGCTTCTACTGACAAGAAAACTGATCCCAAGAAATTGAAATAAGGAACCATGGGTGGGAATTGTGGCACAGCAAGTGCAGTCACCACCTGGGGTGCCTGCCACTCATGCTGGAGAACTGCTTCCAATCCTGCTCCCTCTCAATGTGGCCAGGAAGCAGCAGATAAAGGTTCAAGTACCTGAGTCCTTGCCAGTCATGCGGGACACTCAGAGTTCCCGATTGCTGGCTTCAGCCTGGCCCAGCCCTGGCTATTTCCAACACTTGGTGACTCCCTCTCTCCTCCTTCAGTCTTCCAATAATTTGTTTTAATGGAAACAAAGGGGCGCTCTGACCATGTGTCAGATAATACCACAATTTTACATAGAAAAGGGAAATTTACTTTGTAGTATCACACAGCTTCAGGTACCCTTTTCAGCACAGAATTAGAATTTAAAAACTTGTCAAAAGATCAGCACTAAACAAGTGTATATGCCCAAACAAGTAAGATGATAAGCTATCACACTGAGTTTTTGCACTTACTTTGGAAAGCAGGTGGACACACTATAAACGTCTGTTGAAATGGGTCTGTCTGAGTGCAAATCTGAGTGGTTCCCGGCTGCAAAGAAACACCTTGCTGGGCCACTCCAGGAACCGGGGCTGCAGAGGAAGGGTATAAAGCTGACTGGTAGTTTAGCAGCGAGACATCTGAATTAGCCAGAGAAAGAGTAGCAGCAGCTGCAGCAGAACTGGAAGCTAGAACACTGGCCTGAAAAACACAAAGATTGTTTTATTTGTACATTAGTATGAAGTAGGTAGAAGACATTTTTATACATACAAAACCTATCCAGAGGCTGACACTGTGGCATTAGGGGATTAAGCTGTCATATACAATGCCAGAATCCCCCAGGGGTGTCGGTCTCTGTCCTGGCTGTTCTATTTTCGACTCAGCTCCGTGCTAATTGACTGGGCAAAGCAGTGGAAGATGGTCCAAGAGCTTGGTCCTCTACCAGCCACAAAGGAGACCTGGATGCAGCTCCTGACTTTGGCCTGGCTCAGTCTAGGGCACTGTAGCCACTGGGAAGTGAATCAGCACATGAAGATCTCCGTCTCTCCCTGCCAATAACTCTTGAAAATAAATAAATAAATAAACCTTAAAAATTTCCTAGGACTGGGTGCTGTGGCATATTATAAGTCTCTACCTGCAGTGCTAGCATTCCAAACATACACCTCTTTGAATCCCACTGCTCCACTTCTGACATAGCTCCCCACTAATCCATCCTGGAAAACAGGAAGGAAAGGGAGGGAGAGAAGGAGGGAGGGATGGCAGGAAGGAGGGAGGGATGGCGGGAAGGAGGGAGGGATGGTGGGAAGGAGGGAGGGAAGGAGGGAAGGAGGGAAGAAGGGAGGGAGGGTGGGAGGGAGGGAGGGAAAAAATGGCCTAAGTGCTTGTGCCCCTGCACCCACCCGGGAGGAAGCTCCTGGCTCCTGACTTCAGCCCAGCCCAGCTCTGGCTGTTGCTGCTATTTGCACAGTGAACCAGCAGATGGGAGAGCCCTCTCACTAAATAACTCCACCCATGCAAACAAAAATAAATTTTTTTTTAGGATTCATTTTTACTAGAAAGTCAGATATATAGAGAGGAGCAGAGAGGAAGGTCTTCCATCCACTGGTTTACTCCCCAAGCGACTGCAACAACCAGAACTGTGCTGATCCAAAGCCAGGAGCCCAGAGCCTCTTCCAGGTCTCCCACATGGGTGCAGGATCCCAAGGTTTTATGCTGTCCTTGACTGTTTTCCCAGGCCACAAGCAGGGAGCTGGATGGGAAGCAGGGCTGCTGGGATTAGAACCAGCGCCCATAGGGGATCTCAGCGTGTTCAAGGTGAGGGCTTTGGCCACAAGGCTACTGTGCCAGGCCCTCGAATCTTTTTAAAAATGTTGTCCCAAAATAACTTAGAACAAAGTTTTAAAGTATAATGTTAACTATCTCTGAAATAATTCTCTGCTTAAGAAATCTCCCCAATTCCCAAATTTCAGGCAACAGTATAAGGTAAAACAGGCAAAGAATAACAAATGGTGTACACTAGCTGCAGCTATATAACCCCAAACATTCCATGCAAAAACAATGCTGGACCAGGGAACCCTATCAAATCTCATATTCTCCTCCACTTAGAAAGGAGAGCTAGCTACTAAACTGGGAAGCTTATACTTTCAGAAGCAAGCTTAAATGAAAATGTCACTGGTCAGCAAATACAAAACCACCCTTAAAGTTTAACATTCAATAAATTAATGAGACACATAGAATCCTTCTCCTAGAGGAAAGTCACTTGGCTAAAGTGAACAGCAAAGCAGTCTACCAGTCGAAGCACCTTTACTTGACTGCTGTGACAGACGAAGTCAGAGATCAGACTGTGTGTTTCCTTCTCAGCATGGGAGTGACAGGTACTATCAGCCCATCCCATCTCCCGTCACTTTTGCCAAGGCGACAAACCTCAAGCAATAAGAAATACCAAAACAGGATGTGAGGGCAATCTGGCTGCGACATCTGTCACCCCATTGATCGCCAGGGTTGATTCGGTTGATCTGGCTGGCTAGACAGGTATCCCCTTCCTCCCTCACCGCTCCGTGTGCGTCCCTCCCGAAGCCGCGCAATCGGTCAAAGAGGACAACCATCCCCGCTAGAGGAGGACTGGTCTTCAGTAGCTGCACTCCCCTGCTAGAACCTCCAAACAAGCTCTCAAGAAATACCAAAACAAAGCCTGTTTATCTCACACTGTACTCTGTAGGTGTTTCTGTCCTACCTAAGTCCTGAGTTTCCAAAATAGTTTATTGAATACCTGATTGTGCACGGTATTGAGCTGGTTGCTGAAGCTCATTGTTAGGTTTGTGCTTGTATTTGGGGCCACATGTGTAGTGAAGGGACTCTTGATCTGACTCACTGTGTCATACATGTGAACCCTCCGCTTGCAGATCTCCATGTTCTGGAAACAAGACTTAACACTGAAAAAGAAATCAAAGTCACTAAATGAGTGCTACAACTTAGACAGCAAATCAATCAAGACAAGGCTTTTTAAAGTACTTTCAGATCAACTCAATCAAGAGTTTGGATATCATAAAGACAAAAAAATACAAACGACTTTCAATCTCATGCGTTTTCAATAAGAAAGAAAAGCATTAGAGAGCCACATACACAAATACTAAAGTTGCTGCTTAGCTGCCACTTCCATTTAAAAAGCTGTAAGGCAACCAAGAATCACACCACAGCAAAACGTCCCAGACCCTGTCATACTCACTGATTGCTATGCGGAAAATCCAGAAGATGGGTCATTGTTACAAACTGATGGTTAAGAGTTTTCAGAGGAGTAATTCTCTTATCTGCATCAATTGTTAACATTTTTTTCAAAAGATCAATGTATTCTCTTCGATCTGCCTTCTCTGCCAACATGTCTGTTCCCTCTAAGTCTGTAGACATATTCACCTTTAAGGAAAATTTACAAATAATATACTTTTTCACCAAAGCAGCATATTTAGCATTGAATCTACTTCCTTTTCTCATTTTGGAAATATTTAATGGCAACAAAGAAGTCTCTCTTTTCTCAAAAAGAAAAACCTAGGGAAATTCTTTAGTGTAGCATGATCACTTTCACAGGAGCAAACTCTTCTTAAACTACATAATTTCAATCCTTGTCTAAATTTAGTGGTAGAATAAAACTGAATAAATTTTTGTCATTAAAAATTTAGAACAAGGGGCCAGCAATGTGCCATGGTGGGCAAGGTCACAACCTAAGGACTGTGAGTTGCCAGCATTACCAGTTTGAGTCTAGGAGGCTCTACTTCCAATCCAGCTCCCTGCTAGCCTGGAAAAGCAGAAGAGGAAACCCAGATCCTTGGACCCCGGCACCACATGAGAGACCTGGAAGAAACTCCTGCATTGTGGTTCTGATCTGGCCAGCCCTGGTTACTGAAGCCATTTGGAGAAGGAATCAGCAGAAGGAAGATGTCTCTCCATAAATTTTTTTTTTTTAAGATTTATTTATTTTTATTGGAAAGGCAGATACACAGAGTAGAAGAGACAGGGAAAGAAGATCTACCATCCACTGATTCACTCCCCAAGTGACCACAACGACTGGTGCTGCGCTAATCCAAAGCCAGGAGCTTCTTTCCAGGTCTCCCACGCAGGTGCAGGGACCCAAAACTTTGGGCCATCCTCGACTGCTTTCCCAGCCCACAAGCAGGGGAGCTGGATGGGAAATGGGGCTGCTGGAATTAGAACAGCCATCCGTATGGGATCCCAGGCATGCAAGGCAAGGACTTAGGCATTAAGCTACCGGACCTCACCATAATTTTGCTTTTCAAGCAAATAAATAAACCTTAAAAACATTTTTTTGAGTAACCTTAGAGTTATCATTATAGAACACAGTGGATTAAGCCACCATGTATGTGCAGGTGACAGTTTGAGTGCTTGCTGCTCCACTTTCAATCCACTTCTCCATTCATGTGCCTGAGAAAGCAGTGGGAAATGGTCCAAGACACTGAGCCTCTGGCATCCAAGGGCAGACCCAAATGAAGTTTCCGGCTCCGGCTATGTCCTGGAGCAACCTGGGCTATTGCAGCAATTACGGAGTGAGCATTAAGAGTCTGTAACTCTGCTTTTCAAATAAACAAATAAAAATATTTTAAATAAATAAATAATAAACAAATTTTGTGCAAGAAAAAGCATTTGTGATTACTTAAGTATAAACATTTCTATTATTTAAAAGATTAAATAACAAAGGTTTAAGCAGAGTTGAAAACATAATAAGCATTCAAATGTTAGTTCCTTCATTTTTAGTAGAAAAAAATCAAACAAGGAATCTTAGAAAATAATATCTAAAAACATGGGTATGTAAGATCAGTTAGGCAAACGCAGAAGAGAAATATACATGCTGACTACCTCTATTTGAAATGTTTAAGATTTTGGAGTCTCAGATTTTTAAACTAAAGGTGCTTATTAACTGGTAATTCTAAAAGTATCCTTGTTAGGATTCAGATAGAAGCATAAGGCAGAGTATCAATGTATATTTTTTCTATGAAAAATAAGAATACATACTTGAAAGATAACATCTTTCTTTTGCATATGCAGTAGAAATTCGTCTCTACTTAAAGTGAATAGATGTCTGACTTTGTGAAACTTTGCATGCTTACCTGAGCCATGTCATCTAAACAGTTGAAAATATATTTCCGAGCTTCTTTTGATTTTATTCCAGTCTCCAACTCATGTTCCTCAGGTGTCTAAAAAACAATAATTTTTTAATTCCATCTGTATTTTACAAATTTTATTTTGAAGCCAACGTGTACAAGTGTTACCACCTTGCCAAAAAGAGATGGCAAGCCTGAAAATGATTTACAACACAGCAATCTTCCAGTGGATAGATATCCCCTGACATCTGGCCTCCCTTTCTACCGTGACAGAATACACACACAAGTGATGATGTACAGTTCCTGAACAACATCAAGTAAAAAGAGACAATAGCATTTTTCTCTTAGAGCTATTCTGCAAAGAAACTATACCTCAAATGCTAACTGTTCAAGAGGCTGAGGTAGTCAGCAGGTTAACCAGACTACTCAGTAACTTTTCACATCGAAAGAAAAGGCTCAGACACAAAACAACAAATATTTGTTTTAAGAACATACAGAATGCCTGAATGTGGGAAGTCAGAATGTTACATCGCTTTGTCTTGTTTACTGAGAATTTTCTTTTTTAAGTCATTACTAAACTTCTCTAGGTGTTTGGATCACTGAAGAGTGAACACTACTCACCATTATATAAAACAGCCCAAACACCCTCAGCCACTGAAGTGGCACTTGGTAATTTGTTTTAAACTGAAGATAATGCCAAATGTGAATAAAAAATTCACCAAAGTCTTCCCTTCAAAAAACTTATATCCCTCTATTATTTCCACTGCTCCACCTCAAAGATTTAATAACTAAATTTTGAATTCAAATTTGGGAGTGGGAAGCATGGCAGATGGCAAAACAACAAGGAAGACAGACCTTAAGCCTCCACAGTGGGTAGCCCAGGTTAGGGTCTCTGTTGAAGAACCTGGTTGTTTTTGTTCCAGCACTGAGAAGATATTCAGCCGGTAGGCCTTGCGTTTGTGAAATATAACGAATCTGAAACATCAAAACCATCAAACATCAATTTGGAGTTAAAAAGATTATTAAACACTATGTTTTACATCTAACTGCAGCCAAAAAAAAAAAAAAATACAGCAAAATAAATACATAAATAAACTCTTTAATCAATAAAGTGAAATTTATCTATAAATACAAACAAGGAAACAACAGAAAGTTCATGGAAAATGTGCATTATATTTTAGTTATAGTTTCCTTGAACTTTTTTGAGATATTACATTTATTTATGTGAAAGTCACTAAGCGTTGAAACTGTGGCATACTGTAAAGCCTCCACCTATAACACCAGCATCCCCTATCAGCACCAGTTTAAGCCCTGACTGCTCCACTTCTGATCCCACTCCCTGCTAACGTGTCTGGGAAGGCAGAGGAAGATGGTCCGAGAGCTTGGGCCCTGTACTCACATGAGAAGTCCAGAATAAGCTCCTGACTCCTAACTTCAGCTTGGCCCAGGCACAGTCAAAGCAACCATTTGGAGAGTGAGCCAGTGAAAGGAAGATCTATCTCTATAATTCTTTCGAATAAATAAATTCCTTTAAAAAGCAAAGAGATGCTAGATAGCCACTCCCACTGGAGAGCATGAGCTGGGACCAGACTAGGCAGGGCTGCAGCACCTGTGTGCCTCATATGAACCAGATCAGGGAAGAGCCAGGACGGGCAGACTATTCCTACTAGTGTTGACAAAACTGGAGGGGCTGAGAGCTGTCAGGGCTTAGCCGTAGCAGAAGCTGGCACTGGGGCCATTACTGTTAAGTCCAACCACAGGGCCATCTGGAGAGAGCACAACCAAGAGAGAGAGTGACCTGGGAGGGAAACAGTGAGCTCCCCGCTTCTTGGGTTAACACTCCAATGGGAGGGCACAATAATAGCTAGGACAGGGGCTGGGATGGCTAGACAGGCACTCAGCAACATCCATGAGGGCTGGACAGTTGAGCTGGTTGGATGGAACCAAGCTCCAATACCCCTCAACATTTACGAGAGCCCAGTGGGATATGGGGCAGACTGAACTAGGCTGCTACACATGCTGGCAAATCAGGGCAGGGGCGGGCCAGGTAGAGGTTACTGGGGGTCGCTCTCACTAGGCTGCAGCTCCCACAGATTGATGTGATGAGTGGGGCCAGGATGGACTGCAGCACCCACTGATTCCAGTGGAAGTCAAGGCTCAAGACTGAACCAACCCAGCAATTGTAACCACCAGCTGAACGGGGAGACAGACTATGCCAGATCCTGTATTTGCTAGTATATATAGGACTCTGGTCTGGGAACACCTCAAAGTTTTCTGGGGATCCCCTCAACCGAAATGGCAGACTTAGAACCTTAACCAAGAAAAAACAGAAGATAGAACAGATCAGTCAACTACTACAGCTATATGTTGGCCACGAAATACCGGACAAAGGGAGACTCCATGATGGACTATGTCAATCAGCAGATTATTCAACAGTCTCATCGTGCCTGGAGTGGCGAGACTGGTAGCAATGCATAACTGGCGAATTACCGGGACCACTTGAGCAAAGATCTCAGAACATGCCCTACATCAGGGACCTGGGGTGGATGGGAGACTGGGTGGGGCTTCTCCTCAATATTCTTTTAGCCATCGTAACTTTTTATCCTAATCAACAATGTAAAGATTGCCAAAATATAATTTTTTAAATGTATTTAAAAATAATAATAATAAATAAAGCTAAAACACATTTTTTAAAAAGCAAAGAGAGGGCCCAGCACGGTAGCCTAGCAGCTAAAATCCTCACCTTGAACACATCAGGATCCCATACGGGCACTGATTCAAATCCCGGAGGCCCTGCTTCCCATTCAGCTCCCTGCTTGTGGCCTGGGAAAGCAGTCAAGGATGGCCCAAAGCCTTGGAATCTTATACCCGTGTGGGAGACCTGGAAAAGGCTCTGAGCTCCTGGCTTTGGATCAGCGCAGCTCTGGTTGTTGCAGTCGTTTGGGGAGTGAATCAGTGGACAGAAGATCTTCCCCTCTCTGTCTCTCCTCCCCTCTATATATCTGACTTTCCAATAAAGATAAATAAATCTTAAAAAAAAAAAAAGGCAAAGAGAATGGAGAGAAGAAGTAAAAGAGGGAGAGATGGAAAGAAGATAGAGAACCAGAGAGAGAAGTAGAGAGAGAAGCAGACAGAAAAATAGAGAGAGAGAGAGAGAGAGAGAGAGAATGAACAATACATAGTTACAGAGAGGGAGAGAGATCTCCCACCAGTTTCACTCCTCAGAAGGCTACACACGCTGGGGCTGGATCAGGCCACAGCCAGGAGATTCTTCTGAGTCTCTAGAGGCTCAATTACACCATCTTCCACTGCCTTTCCCAGGCCATAACAGGAAGCTTGACGAGAAGTTAAGTAGCCAGGAGTCAAACCACCATCTCTATGAGACAGACTTTGCGGTTGTTGGTTTTACCTATTCTGCTACACCAGCCACTGTGACCTTTGTTGGTTTTTTTTTAAGGTTTTATTTATTTGCTTAATTCATTGGAAAGGCAAATTCACAGAGAAAGATCTTCCATCCACCTGTTCACTGCCCAACTGGCTGAACAACTGGAGCTGAGCCAGGAGCCAGGAGCTTCTTCCCAGTCTCCCATGCAGATGTATACTCCCAAAGCTTTGGGTTATCTTCTATTGCTTTCCCAGGCCACAAGCAGGGAGCTGGGATGGGAAGTGAAGCAGCCAGGATAGGAACCAGCACCAATATGGGATCCTGGCGGATGCAGGGCAAGGACTTTAGCAACTAGGCTATCATGCTGTGAACATTTTTAACTATCCTCTAAACATGTTAGCCTACCAATAGCCAATTACCAAATTATTTCTTTGTTACTATATCTGTAATTTCAAGGAAATTCAGTTTTTGAAACTTTTGCGTATAATCTTTTTAAATTTTATAGACTTGCAAACTTCAGAACAAACTAGTCAGAACATTTTCTAACAACCCCTTGCGTGGTTTATCAACATTTTTTTTTAACACATTCAATGAGAAACATTAGGGAAATTTTTCCTCAACCCTCTTTCTTCTTGGAGCATCTAGCTCTCGGCTGCCGCACTCTTAGTCACAGAGCTTATCTTATACCATAAAACCTAGCACTTAATTTAGCAATTCCATCCTCCTATTCATAGAGGATAGGCACCATACTTCATTTAACACTGAATCTACCACGACCTAGGCCAAGATTTCCTCAAACAGTGGTCTGAATACCTGGAGTTCCCAAAACTTTCATAGGTGGGTCTAGAAAATAAAAACTATTTTCATTATCATAATAATCAGGAGTTACTTGTCCTTTTGAGTGATTAGCAGGGATTCCCAGAAGTGCCGTGTGATGTTACTGCTTAAATCCCTGCTTCATTTTCCATTGTTCACATTTCTACAATTCTCCCAACACAGAAAATGATAAAACCAGTGGTTTGCTTCTCTTCCCACCCTTGATGGCAATACAAAAAGCAATTTTTTTATAATCTCCCTACCACATATCTTAAAAATAATAAAAAAAATTCATGCAGAAGGAAATAAATCCTACTTCTGATTTCCCACAGTCCAAACATTCTCAGCTTTAATTTCTAACACAACACATATTAACTGATCTAAGCCACATCAACAAAGCTCTTTAGAATCTTCAGGAATTGTTATGAAGATAAAGCAGGTCAGTACACTACAATCTATTGGCCAAATCTGGTCCACCATCACAGATCATTCTAGACAACAGCAAGGTGTTACTCCAAACCCCTGGAAATCAAAACACAGCACTGGAAAATAATAAGTAAGTTAATTAATGTAAAAAAAAAAATCATCACGTCCTATGTGATTTTCTTTCACATATAAAACTTATTAGTTTTTAAAATCCTGGATAAAATTATATAATGAAATACTGTGCAGACATTTTAAAATAAAAGTACATGAACTGCCATCTAAAGATACTTTACAATATATTAAACATAAAAGCAGATCACAAAAATAGTTATTTTTATAAAAAAAAAAAAAAGATTTTGTTGATTCTAGCAAACATATTTTTTCCACTAGCATCTTTGGAATCAGGATATGACTTAGAACTGACACGGTTTCATTACCAGCATTCTTTCTTTGAGGTACAAAAAAACACTGTGTCTTTAAACCAGCAGTGTCTCAGATTTGACAAAATACAAAACATATCCTCTCCTTTATATCCACAAGGTTGTATGTGGAACACAACAATATGGAGAACATATTCTCTCATTGTGTATTCACCAGGGCAAGCAATGATGACTTTTTTGAGTAGACACAGTTCTTGCTCTCATAGTTTTCAGTTTACTGAGGAAAACTGATACTGAATGTATAATTCAAACTGTGTCAGCATTCTGAGGAAAATAATTAGGCTTCTATAAAAATACAGAACAAAGGAACCTGACCTAGACTGGGCACTGGAGAGAAGAGGCTCCTTTGGGAAGTGGCACTTGAGCTGACAGAACAGCATGCGCACAAATCCTTATTCAGTGCTGCAACAATGCCAAGGAGGCAACAGCACGGACAGGAAGTAATGGCCTAAGACCAATCCAAACAGGAAGAAAGGAAGGCCCCTGATGCACGTGGAGTCTCATGTCAGGGAGCTCAGGGGCCATAATAAAGACAGCCCATATATTTCAAAAGCAATGGGAAATCACTGAGGCCCAACAGGGTGGCATGTCCAAATTTATGCTTTGAAAAAATATCACTTTGGATTAAAAAAAAATTGGAGAAATACTAGAGTAGAGAAACAGTCACGGTTTAGTAGCCCTGGTAAGTGATAAAGACAGCCTGAAAAATAGCACAATAGCAATGGGAGAAAATGAGTAAATTAGCAGACAGGCATGTGGGGCAGAAACCTCAAGCAGACTCCTTGCTCCCTGCCCCCGCCCTCCCCTTGGCCGCCCCTTCCCTCTGCCTCTCAAATAAGTTTTTTAAATGTACATTTTTAAAAATTGCAAAGCACTGAAGAACCTAGATGTCTTCTGCTTTTGTGATTCTGTCTTAATGGCTTGGCTGGGGGCTGTGTGAACTCCAGGCCTCGTAGTCTACATGACACCCGACAGGACACCTGGCAGGTCACTAGGCAGACCACTCCTCAGGAAGGAGGTACCTGGTACTTGATAAGATTCACTGTTCTACAGCCCATCAATTTGTACTTATTGAAAGTTGCTTGCTTCGAACCCACCAATAGAAGCCTACTAAATCATGACTGTATAATTAATAGCCTGAAATGTATCAGAACCCCTGGGCTGTTCAACCAGGGGGCTCTCTCTCCTCTTTCGCCCTCCCTGCTGATCCTGCAGCAGCCTTGGCTGTAGCAGCCCCTCCCTCTCCAGCCCTGCAGGGCTGGGGGAGGTGGCTGGGAGACCTAGGCTAACCTGAACAAACCACCTTTATGCCTTAGCACTGACTTCAGACTCAATGATTTTCTGGGGATATCAAAATCCAGCACAACAGCACCAAGTTACTAGTTATTTATTACACGGGCAACTCATTTTTTATACTATAATCAAAACACTAAATTTTTGCGAGTTGGTGAATTCTACATCCATTCAAACAGATTAAAGGAACAATTTTTTTTTAGATTAATAGGTAGAACACTGTTTTGCTTTTTTTTAAAAAAACAATTTCAGATAATCATTTAATTCTCCAGAAAGGTAAGAAAGAAGGTAGGCAGAGAGACAAGCAGACAAACTCGGCCCACTCCTGTGTGCCAGCATCAAGAGCTGAGAGTACATGGCGGCATAAGAGTCTCCAACCTCAAAGAACTTACAGTACGCAGGGTTCATTTTTTTTAAAGAACAAGAAATTTAAAATGTATAATTTACTTCAGTGGCAAATTCTTTTCCCTCAGTGCCCCAATTCCTTAGGAAATTGTGGCATAGCTTACAGGTTTATTACAGTACTGTGTAACTCAGTGCCTTCCTTAATAAGTACTATTTTAAAGTCATATATATATATATATATATATAAATTTCCAGAACCTAATGTGTTTCAGGTTCAAGAGAGTAATTTTTTCACTGTATGTCATACAGAAAAGAATATAATACTTCTGAGTGATCCAAAGTTCACTTTTCAAATTCTAGGTCCACATCTTTGTTTTTTCATGTTTCAACATGCATATGAATACAACAAAGCAATACAGATATAAAAATATAACACTCTTTAATATAAAATAAAATCTTTGTCATGCTTTATACGAATATGAGTAACTTTAGATTATGAAACAGGCACAGGCAATTCTACATTCTTGTACAAGTTTATAGCAGTGATTGGAGGACTGTTCCACTGCTACTTCCCTTGCCATAGCAGCTACCTCACTGTGACTATGCGCTTTGAGATTTCCAGTCAGTCACCCTTACCTGATCATATTCTGAAGCACCAGGATACAGTGGCCATCCCAGGAACAGCTCAGCTATCACACAGCCCAGTGACCACATGTCAATAGCTTCACAAAAAGGCAACCCAAGAATAATTTCAGGGGCTCTAGAAAAAAAAGTGATTAAAAAGATCTTGTGGAAATTAATGTTAATTAAGTCCTATTTCAATATTAGCTAAATGTACACTTATTTAACAAACCTAAAAACAATTCATCATCTGGAACTATTGGAGCTAGAGAAAAAGAACAAACTATGTATTTCAAAGACAGCATATTTCTGCAACAAAACACTCAGTAGTCACATACAGTTGGCTAAAGACATAATATTGCATCATAAAACCAATGCCACCCCTTTAAGTATTATCCCATTTTACAGATAAAGAATCTAAGCACTAAGAGATTAAACAATTTGCCATGTTACACAACTATCAAACAATGGCTCCCAGGCAATCTGGATCAGGATCTGAGCTCTCAAACATCTTATCATCTATTCCAAAAAACATCCTTTTATTTTTCTAAGATTTATTTACTTTTATTGGAAAGGCAGATATACAGAGAGGAGAAGAGACAGAGGGAGAAGATCTTCTGTCCACTGATTCACTCCCCAAGTGACCACAACGGCCGATGCTGCGCTGATCCAAAACCAGGAGCTTCTTCTGGGTCTCCCACGCGGGTGCAGGGTCCCAAGGCTTTGGGCCGTCCTTGACTGCTTTCCCAGGCCACAAGCAGGGAGCTGGATGGGAAGAGGAGCTGCTGAGATTAGCACCGGTGCCAATATGGCTTCTCGCAACATGCAAGGTGAGGACTTTAGCTGCTAAGCTATTGAGCCAGGGCCAACATCCTTTTTTTTTTCTTTCCCTTACATATCAAGATACCATGGCATCTGCATCTTCAAAGGACACTCCAGACTCCTCATGTAAAGGAACTTAAAAAGCTCTTCATGTAGAACTATCTAACTGGCCATGTTTTCGTCCCATTGATGCCTAGATTCAAGTGATTGGTATGCTGCTCCTGTTCTCCTGTTTTATGTGATTAGCAGAGGGCTGGGTCTGAGCAGAGAGGGTACAGGTATTTCTTTAAGCAGGAACATCCTCCCCAAGTAATTATATATGATTAGCAGGCCTGAAAAAATGATGATAATGGCAGGCATCTGGCTACTAAGACTCTGCTTAAAATGTGCATATCCCAAATGTTTGAGTTGGATACCACCCTTCAGCTCTCTGTTAATCTACATACCCTGGGAGGTGGTGGTGATGGCAGGTAATTTGATGCTGCCACCCCTTTTGGAGACCGGCACCAAGTGTCCAGTAACAACTACAGCCCCAGTGAGGGGACATCTTGAGCATCTGGAGAACCAAACAGGAAACAGGAGCTCTCTGTTGTCTGCCTCACCCTCTCCCTGCTTACCAAGTCAAATAAAACAAAACAGTTGGAGGGTGCTAGAGGTTCCAACAGCTTTTCTGGTCTTTGACTATTTGACAGTTGTAGGTGGAACCACCAGCATCACCAGTTTTTGCAGTTTGATGTGAATTGTGGGTCTGTTAAAAGACTTTACAAGTGGTATTCTATGGACCAACACCATGACTCAATAGGCTAATTTCCACCTTCACCTTCAACTGCCAGCATCCCATACAGGTAGCAGTTCCTGTTCCGGTAGCTCCACTTGCCATTCAGCTCCCTGCTTATGACCCAGGAAAGCAGTGGAGAATGGCTCAAAGCCTGGGAACCCTGCACCTCTGTGGCAAGAGGCTTCTGGCTGCTGGCTTTGGATCGGCGCAGCTCTGGCCTTTGCAGCCAGTTGGGGAGTGAACCAGCATATAGAAGATCTTTCCCTCTCTGTCTTTCCTTCTCTCAGTAAATCTTCCTTTCAGATAAAGTAAGTAAATCTTAAGAAAGAAACAAAAGAAAAAAAGAAAGAGAAAAAGGTAGTATTCCAGACCCAACATCATGATGCAGCAGGTTAAGCAACCATTTGTGACACCAGCATCCCACAGTGGAGTGCCAATATGATTGCCAGCTGCATCATTCCACCTTAGCTTTCTGTCAATGCACCTGGGAAAGCAGAGGAAGCTGGCACAACCACTTGGAACCCTGTCACTCGCATGGCGGATCAGGATGGAGCTCCTAACTCCTTCCCTTGGCCTGGCCCAATCCCACTGTTGCTGCCCTTTGGGTAGTGAACCAGCAGATGCAGATGAAGGAATTCTCTGTCTCTCTCCCTCATTACCTTTCAAATAAACAACTTTTTAAAAAAGTGATTATTTTGCTGGCCGTGGAAGCCACATATTACTGACAGAATTTCAGAGTGCAGAGAAATTTCAACAATTATGACATGTTTTTAAGATGGCACAATTTTCATAGGACTATTAATGCAGCTAAGAGTACTGAAATAATATAAAGGTTTTTCTATAATTGAAAAAGAACAAAAATTTTCTACTCTCAGTGAGCAGAATCATTAATTTCTAAGTTCATAACAATGCCAAAAATAGCTGGCAGAGGAAGTACAAATGGCTTTGTGCCAAAATAAAAGCTGGGTTTACAACATTCTAAAGCATCAATTAGAGAGCAACAGATTTTGCCATTTCTATCATACCAGGAAGATATTTTGAAGCCCAAAAGGTTGGTCTCAGAGAATGTCCAGGACACCCCAATAACTACTTTTATATTAAAAAAAGGTAACAATAATATAGCACTCTTTCTTTTTAAGGATATATTTATTCTGAAACGCAGAGATACAGAGAAGTGGCAAAGGCAGAGAGAGAAAGACAGAGAGAGATCTATCTTCAGTCCAGTGTTTCACTGCCCAAATGACCACATTGCCCAGGGCTGTGTCTGGTTGAAGCTAGAAGTCAGGAGCTTCATCCAGGTCTCCTATGTGGGTTGGTCCAAGTGCCCTAACAGTTGGGCCATCCTCCAGCAGGAAGCTTGGTTGAAAGTGGAACAGCTGTGACCCAAACTGGCACTCATTAAGGATGCCAGCACTGCAGACAGCAGCTTTACCTACTATACACAGCTCTGGCTTCTAATAGTCTTCTAAAAAGGTTTCAGAGAAATTAAAGAGAACACTAATTCCAGCCCTCAAGCCCCAGTTAAAAGCAAATTGCAAAATGAAAGACTGGCTGAAATTTCTTTTTTTTTTTAATTTAGTCTGACCCTGTTTCTGTCCTGACAGGACATGCCAAGATTTCTAGCAAAGTTTACTCAAAATGACAATTCTCCTGCATATATTCTATTAAGAGACAAGAATTGCTAATTTGTTATTCTTCCCCCTGCAGACAGATATCAGGATCTCATATGGGCGCATTTTGTCCCAGTGCTCCACTATCCATCTCCGTGCTTTTGGCTGGGAAAGTAGTGGAAGATGGCCCAAAGCCTTGGGATCCTAAGCCCATGTGGGAGACCAGAAGAAGCTCTTGACTCCTAGCTCCAGACTAGCTCAGCTGTGGCCCTCGAGGCTATTTGGGGACTAAATCAGCAGGTGAAAGATCTCTCTCTCTCTCTCTCTCTCTCTCTCTCTCTCTCTCTCTCTCTGTCTCCCTCACTGTCTATAACTCTTGAGTTTCAAGTACAATAATGAATAAAAGGAAGGAAGGAAGGGAGGGAGGGAAGGAGGGAGGGAGAAAAGGAAGAAGAAAGAACTGTCAGCCTTAGCTGAACTAAACAAGCAAGAAGTTATTTTTCTCTTCACTGAGTAAGGCACTAACATTGAACTGAACATTTCAACTCTAAATTCAATTATAATTCTTGAAAGTATTTTTGTTTAATCTTTCCCCGGCTTCCATTATTTTTCAATCTCTCAATATATACTCTATGAAATTCTCAATATATATTCCCTGAAATTCTGCTTCCATTTCATTTGTATAATAGGAAGCCTAAATTAATTAACTCTCCTAGCTCTGATAGCCTAACAACCAGACAGAAACACACACACATACACACATACAGACATATATCCACCGAAGCACAGGGAAGGAAGAAAGAAAGAAGCAAAATAAAAACTGGCAACCTTCACTTCAGGAGGAAAACAGCATGAGCTGCGCATGGACAGGACGGTTTCCTTTTGGAAGATACATGCATCGCATTCTTAGGGAGCAAATGATAAACAGGCCCTAATTACTAAAGTCAAGTAGAGAAATAATTATAATCCCTCCTTTCTGATATCTCTACTTCAACCTCTTTGCAAAGGGAACTTCAAAAAGTTTGTGAAAAAAAAATTAAAAGATACTTCTGATACCAAAAAAAATCTTGAAATCCACAGTTTTTTCATAATATGCACTTTCCATGAACTCCTTGAACACCCCCTCTCGTTGTATGTAACAAAAATTCCTCCAAGGGTCAGAAACCTACACTCCCTGGCAACCACAGCAATCTGAGGTTAGGATCACTGGACAGCATAAATTCTCCAGTCACGTTCATGAAATTCTTGCTTCTTTCCTCCTATTGCAAAAGCATCAAAGCTACTACTTATTAGATTGAAGTTATTATATAACCTACAACTTTCTATATCTATGGCATTAAAACTATAAGCTTGTGAATGTCAGAGGAAATTAAAACATTTGACTAGGATCAACTGAAAACACACTTCACTTCCCCACACTTAGTCCTTCCATAAATGACAAACCAATCTCACCTTGAAAATAAGACTGGCTGGTTTGTTCTGAGTGGGAAAGCACTGAGCTTATAAGCATGATGGACCTCTGTACCAAAACTCAGGCCTCAAAGCATCAACTTTCTTGGGAATCAGTCTATATTCACAGTGAACCGGAAAATAAAGTATTATTTCTACTGCCTGAATCACATAGCTGTACCCACTGTCAGTGGAGACAGAACGGTGGCATATTCTGGCATGAAATCAAAACAAAGCATTATAGCGAATTAAAAAAGAGAAAAAGCTAGTTTGGAATGCCCCATTAGACAAAACAGGGCTCCACAGAGGTATTCTGAAAGACAAGAGACTGGCAAAGGGGCCCACATGGTAGCCTAGCAGCTAAAATCCTCACTTTGCACATGCCAGGATCCCATATGGGCACTGGTTCTAATCCCCCTGGCCCTGCTTCCCATCCAGCTCCCTGCTTGTGGCCTGGGAAAGCAGTCGAGGACGGCCCAACACCTTGGGACCCTGTACTCGAATGTGAGGCACAGAGGAGGTTCCAGGCTCCTGGCTTTGGGTTGTCCAGCACTGGCCGTTGCGGGCAATTGGGGAGTGAATCAATCAATGGAAGATCTTCCTCTCTGTCTCTCCTCCTCTCTGTATATCTGACCTTCCAATAAAAATAAGTAGATCTTTAAAAAAAAAATAACAAAAATAACAAACACACACACACACACAAAAGTGACAAAATAATGGACCCTAAAACAGTATTAAAGCAATAGGAAAGGAAGCTTAAGAGGACCACCACTGTGAATAAAACCAAAGACAAAGAAAGAATGCTATTCCATTTGCCTTACATTTAAGTATTACTGTGACATAATAAAGCACTCATTTCAATTCTAAACACAGTCAAGCTGTAGCTACTGAACCTCAGTACACACAGTAATGAGTCCTATTTTTAAGGGGTAAAATTAGTTCCACCTAAAATTAGTCAGCAACGGTTTATAGAAAGCTTTGTGCAATACTAATTCTTAAAATTTAAAAAACCTGGGGCAGTGCAATGACATAGCAGGTAAAAGCTGCCACCTGCAGCGCCAACATCTCTTACGGACCTTGAATAAAGCCCCAGCTGCTCTACTTCCAACCCAGCTCTCTGCTACCACGTCTGGGAAAGCAGCAGCAGACAGCCCAAATCCTTAGGCTTCTGCACCAACACGGGAGACACAGAAGCTCCCAGCTCCCGGCTCCAGACCAGCCCAGCTCTGGCCACTGTAGCCATTAGGAGAGTGAACTAGTGGATGGAGGATCTGTCATCGCTATCTCTCTGTAACTCTGCCTTTCAAACAAATAAAATAAAATCTTACTTTTCATAAGAGAAACCCAAATTGCTCAAGTGGCAAATTAAATTATAAGGACTGGAAGGATGTGAATATCAGCACAACCAGTGAAAGACCCGGCACAACAGCGTAGTGGTTAAACTTCTCACCTTGCATACGCCGGGATCCAGAATTGGTGCTGGTTCTAATCCTGGCTGCCCTGCTTCCCATCAGCTTCCTGCTTGTGGCCTGGGAAAGCAATCAAGGATGGCCCAAAGCTTTGGGACCCTGCACCTATGTAGGAAACCCAGAAATGGCTTCTGGCTTCGGATTGTCCAGCACCGGCCGTTGCGGCCACTTGGGGAGTGAAATCATCGGATGGAAAATCTTCCTCTCTGTCTTTCCTCTCCCGTCTGTGTATCTAATTTTCCAATAAAAACAAAATGAATCTTTAAAAAAAAAGTCAGTAATGCTTTTTGATGGAATATCTTTCTCTGTCTCTCCTCCTCTCTGTATATCTGACCTTCCAATAAAAATAAACAAATAAACCTAAAAAAAAAAAAAAGAAAACAACAACAACAAAATCATAGATCCAGGGGAAATCAAGGACTTCCAACGAAAAAAAAAAAAAGAAATAGTTGTAGGTCTCACACATCCTGATTTGCCTGCATTGTAGTGTAGCAAACTAACCCTCTACTTGCAACACCAGCAATCTCATATGGGCATCACTTCATGTCCCAGGTGCTCTTCTTCTAACGCAGCTCTCTGATAATGTGCCTGGGAAAGCAGTAGAAGATGTCCCAAGTACTTGGGCTCCTGCACCCATGTGGGAGATTCAGAGAAAATTCCAGGCTCCTGGCTTGAGCCTGGGCAAGACCAGAACGGGAAATCTCAATCTCTTCCCTCTCTCTCTTTCTCTTTGTCCTTTCCAAATAAACAGAACAAAACAAAACAAAACTACCACAAGAGGGCCCAGTACAGTAGCCTAGTTGATAAACTCTTCATGTTGCATGCATCAGGATCCCACATGTGCACCGATTCCTGTTCTGGCTGCTCTACTTCCTTCCAGCTCCCTGCCTGTGGCCTGGAAGAGGGCCCAGAGCCTTGGGACCCTGCACCCACATGGGAGACACGGAAGAAGTTCCTGGCTCCTAGCTTCAGGTTGGCTCAGCTCTGGCCAATGCAGTCATCCGGGGAGTGAACCAGCGGATGGAGGATCTTTTGGTCTGCCTCTCTCTGTAAATCTGCCTTTCAGATTTACAGAACAAAGAAACAAACAAACAAACAAAAAAATAATTCTTAAAAAAAAAAAAACTACAGGGAAAAGGCAACCCATAAAAAGGAAGAAAAATTTGTAAAGCAGGTTTGATAAAGAATTAACTGTCCAAAAAAAAAAAAAAAGAATTAACTGTCATCCAATCAGCAATAAACAACTACATTCAAAATTGGGCCATGGCTTCTGGTGAGCACCTGCTGTGCGTTACGTGCAGGCCCAACAGATGCCTTTAGTTCGTTGAAGGGACCCAGCCACCCAAAAGTGGAGATGTCCTGAGCACTTGCTAACTACAGGAAGAGGGTTTGCCTGTGTTTTCCCAGAAACTGAGTCACAGCCTGTGTGGGTACCTGGACCCCATCCACTGGAGGAAGCCCCTCCAGTAAGACAGCTTAATGACCTCATTCTGAAAGATCATCACCATCAAGGAAACAATGGAGAAGGAAGAGATCAGACCCCTCCCAACACCAGGCGACACAGGGGATTTTAAGAGATTGGGCGCATCAAGCACAACTGTCCCTAACCCTATGATGTATTTGATCAACAACTGAATGATTGATATTCTGACACACTAATAATCTGTGGGAAAGGTTATGCTCTTGTCCCTAGAATTTCCTGATGGATCCTCAAAGCTGTGGGTTTCCCTATGGCTCATCTAACCTCGGAAGTGCAGCAACTCCCTTAAATACAACGCTGCCCCTGGAAAAGATGGAACCCCTAGTGAAACTGCCTCTATAAGAAATTAAAAACTAAATTTGTTTAATATTCCTCTTGTTCCACTACGGTCAGGAGTGCAGAGAAATTATCCACCTTCTTAGAATGTTTGAGGAAGACTTTAAGTATAACTTATTATTTATAGATAACAAATTCTTAACAGCCTTAGACATTAGAAAAACCATAGAAATCTGTGGTGAGACCCAAGAACAACCCTGACATCTTCTTAAAAGGAGGTTGTGTGTACAGAGCAGCAGGGGATCTCAGGCTGGAGCAGGAGGATAAGAGGTCTGTATTCTAGTCCCGGAGACTCCAGGAGGCCTCCCAAGTGCTTTCGCAGACCAGGTCACCATAGTTGCAGGTAGGCAAGGGAGCTGAGACAAAGTGTTTCAGGAGGGGAAACCTAAGGGTACGTCTGAGTCAGCCAAGGCACCAGCCCATGTGGGAGACCTGGGCTGTGCTAAATAGCATCATCCACTGCCCACAGGCACACACAAAATCTGGGGCTATAATACCCACCCGCAAGTGTCATAGCAGGGAGCAGGCCACGTAAAGCTGGACTGCAGCATCCATCAATTCATATGAGACATGGGGCTGGGACAGAACTGACTAGGCAGCTGCATACACCAGTATGTACACTGGCTGGTGCAGGTGGAATAATGATCCAGACCCTGAACTGGTCAACACACACCAAGAGTCAAGTATGAGATCACCCCAGGTGAGCTTTCTTGGGGCATTCAACAACTAGATGGCTGGACTCAAACCATGGCCAGAGAGAAAATCACAATATATACAGTACAACCTTGGAGTGCATGTATTGGGACTGGGTACCCTCAGCTGCTGATGCCTGTGCAGAGGACAGCATGTCCAGATACACATGGAGGACATGAAAGCCAGCTTATCTAGGCCAGCAGAGGACATCTACTGCCTCACCAGAGGGTGGAAAGCAGAACAGGTTGGACAATTCTCCTGGCCAAGCTCTACAGCGTGTTTCTGGGTCTGTGGACACACTAAGATGGACTTTGTCAATCAACAAACCTTGGAAAAATTTTCTCAACCCTGATGCAACAAAACCAACAACTTCTCAGAACTATCAAAACCACACAAGTAACACCATCAGAACACTCTATCCAAATCCAGGTCTCTAAGGCATCATTAAATGACCACCCCTATCCTCAGGTGCCAATGTAGTAGCAAGTACAGGCTGCTCCCTCCCCTTCCTCTCAAGAAGACAGGAGAAAAAACTGGAACACCTGTCCTATCCACTTTCCTCCATATCTAACTCTCCCCACCCTAATCAGAGGCTCACATGGGCTGCATCCCTCTCAACTATGTAAACGATATTAAAAGGAAAACAGAAATTTTAAAATATATTTTTAAAATAGGAAAACTGGATATAATGATATAAAGATGTGCTATAGTATACATCTTTACTCCCACATAAAAGGAATCCTCCTATCCCCTGACACTATGATACTAGATTTTCTACCCTTGCCTATAACTACAGTGCCATGACACACTTAAATAGCAGAATGTTAAACCTGTAACTGTTACTAAAGGACTGTACTACCATAATAATATAAGGGAAAATGGTGGGAGAAGAAAATGAAGAGGGAGAAAGGGGAGGGAAAGAGAGGAGTCCCTGTTATCATGAAACATAATAACAACTGAATGTTTAAACACAGTATTAAAGAATAAATCAGATAGAATTCAATCAGCCTTCAAGTCATATTGAGTTAATTTTTCTGGTTTTAAGTAAAATTTCAGAAATAAGATAAGGTTACATAAAGCAAACATTATACAAATGAGGTAAAAACAACCATTGCTTTTGTCTTGGGATCTGTAAATAAATAAATTTATCATTATATGTACCTCTTTGCAACATGTTAAATGCAAGAATACCTCTGTGTGTACAATACGGTTTTCATAATTTACCACTTACCTATAGTAGCGTGACTGTAAGTAGGTGGAGCACACAGCTTTGGAAACATGACTAGCAGAACCAAAGTCAATGACCTTCACTCGGTAGGGTTGGCGAACTGGATCAACCAGCATTATGTTTTCAGGTTTAAGGTCAGCATGAATCAAACCAAGGCTCTTGAGTTTCATCAAGGCTGTGGCCACCTGCTGCAAGATTGGCCTGATATACTTGAGTGGCAGTGGGCTAAACTTGTTCTGCTTAAGAAAATCATACAAGTTCTGCTCCAACATCTCAAAAACAAGGCAGGTATGATTCTTGTGTTGAAAGCACTCATAAGAACGGACAAAATTATACTCGTCAGCATTTTCACTGCTTAACCGGGAAAGAATGCTCACTTCAATCTGCCCTTGTCTGGCATAGGAGGGGTGGTTCTTCAAGATTTTAATCGCCACAATTTCCTTTGTGCTCCGTTTCCAGCATTTTGCTACCTGTCCAAAGGTTCCACGGCCCAGGAACTCCAAGACTTCATAGCTGTTGGTCATAGAGCAAAGGATCTCATGCTGGACCAGCTGGTAATCCCCTTCTCCGCTTGAACTGCTGCTTTTTGTGGTCACCGTGGTGGTCGTGGCAGCAGCACCCACCACAGTCCTGTTTTGCAGCATGAGAGGGGGATGTTCTTCTATGATCTGCACACTACCGTTGCTATCAACTTCCTCACTTTTTCTTTTCAATCCACATTTTTGATAGGGTTCGAGCAAAGTCACGTTGCTTCTGTGAGTCAGGGTCTGGCTGCTCTGGAAGGTTGATGTAGCAGCACTAGCTGAGCTATCAGCAGCTGTTACAACAATGTGCTCCACTGCAGGGGCTGGAAGCAAGAGACCCTGGTCGTAAGCAGGGATGTTGAAATTTGCTACCTGCTGAGAAGAGTTGGCTTGTCCTTGTGTGGCTGGGAGGGTTTTGCTGTGGGTATAGTATTTGTCGTTGCTGCTCTGTCCTGAAACATCCCAGCCAGAGGGCTCTATTTTCAGTTTCTTCGCACTGCAGAAGGCACTCGACGACACTGATGGGGGGGAAAACACCTGCAGCTGTGATGCCATACCTACAACCAAGGAAGGGAAGAATGAAACCACAAGGGTAAGTAAGCGACCCCATCAAAAAGTTGTAGTTGATAAAAGAAACATGTAGTAACGTTCCCCTCCTATTAGAGGCTAATTCAATCCTAGTCCACATTCAGAAAAGTGAAACCTTCCACTCTAGTCAGTCCTACATGAAATAGTGCTCAGCTCTGCCTAACAAATTTTAAAAGCATCCTCCATAAACTGACCAAAACAAAGTAACCAGGATGCTGAGAAAGATGGAGGGCATCTTCTGAAGATCCAAGAAAGTTAGAAAAGTACAGGCAAAAGGAGGGAAACCAGTCCAGCTTTTTGCCCGAGTATTCCACAGCCACCTCAAGCTCCATAAAGCCCCAAACAAAACAAAAACAATTTTTTTCAGGATAAAATCCAAACATGTAACGTAGCACCCAAGCTACTTCACACTTACATTCTCCATTCTCAATCATCTGACCCTCAGGACTCGGGGTTCTAAAGGAATCCCTAACCCCTTCTTCCACGCATCCCCCCTCTCAAGTCCCCAGGATTAGTCAGTCATCTTCAAGACACTAAAATCTGTCTAATCCACACTTTTCTCTTTAGAAATCCAAACCCTACATTCAAATGCATACTTAATACTGCAACCTGAATGTCTTAGATAATACAAATTTAGCATCTCCAAATTTAAATTTATGGGTTTCTGTGTCAATTATGAGATGTCACTAAATACCCAACAGCTCAAGTGAAAAATCAGGGAAGCAACGAGCCCGAGACTCCTCATGTATGCACTGGTGACACAACAACCTATCTCACATGAGTTTTCTGAGCATTAATATGTGTGAAGTGGCAGTGTCTGCCACACATTCATTACCCTGACTCACTCCTCCACATCTATATCTAGTTAGTCCTATCACCTAAGCATATTTCAAACCAGCTATTTTTCTCAATCCCTTCCGGTAACACATCCCAGTCCAAAACTGAAAACACATGCTTTTAAACTGCACAAATCAATTAGCTGTTCTCTCTCCTTAACCATCTCTTTCCTCTTCCCCACGATTTTTCTTTGCTTTAGTGATAAAGCCCCAAACCCTCACCCTGTATTAAAAAGTCTCCAAAAACCTGCTTGCTGGCATCCAATATTCTCCAGGCTGAATTCTCTATTCCAGCCACATTAACCTCAATCATCTTACCTCCAAAAGCTCAGAACGTGTTGAAAAACTGTTCCCCCAACACTTGTGTTGTACATACACACATATACTCCCATCAATTACCCTCTCAAGTACTCCCATAGCACCCATGAAGTCCCCCGTAACTTGATATTCTTTATTTAATGTCACAATCCTTGCTACACTTGAAATTCCTTGAGGACAGAGCTATCTCATCTTCACTAAAATCTTCACAGCAATACGGAGTAGGCACTGCTGTTATGATCTGACAGGATTTGTTTCCTCAAATGCATGCAGATGCTTAAATCCCAAAGTCTTACAATAAGTCAGCAGATCAATGTTGATGCTTGATGGATTGGAGTGGGCTTGATCCAATCATGGACTTTTAGGGTAAGGTCTTCAGGGCTGGACAGGTGGCTAGGGAAGGGCCCTCTGTGGGAAAGGCCCCACAGAGATAAGATAAAAGAAAGCTTCCTGGCTCACCACGTGACTCTCTTGCTACCACCCTTGACAGCCCAGTCTTGATCAGTGAACCTTCAAAACTGTAAGCTGAAATAAATCTCTTTCCTTTCAGACATTTGGAAGTAACTAACACATGTGGAAAAAGCCTTGATCCCTGTCTACAAATATCATTATCTACCAAAAACCCTCTAACAATCCAAATAAAATTACAGTATTTCCAAATGCTTTTCTGTTTTTTTATATCTTGTTTCTTATATGTGATTCTTGAGATACTGACAGAAAACACCACTCCTGTCCATATAGTAGTTTTACTAGCCATAAGACAAACATACACAATTAAAAAGCAATGAAATGTGACAAAGGACATTACAAAACATAAAAAAAAAAAGTGTGGGAACCAGCACTGTAGCTGCATTTTTGACACCAGCACCCTGTCAGCTCCAGTTTATGTCCACAGCTCCACTTCCAATCCAGCTCCCTGGTAATGACCCAGAAAAGCAGAAGATGGGCCAAGTGCTATGGTCCCTACCACTCACAGGGGAGACCCAGAGGAAGCTCCTAGTTTCAGCCTGGCTCAGCCCTGGCCATTGTGGTCACTTGGGAGAGTGAACCAAGTAGCTCTTTTACCAAATTTACATACTAAAATATATGCAAAAAAATACATGCAAAAATACTTCCTGTCGTTTTAAAACTATAACAAACTGGGGCCATTGTTGTGGTGTAGCTTGTTAAGCAGCCATCTACAAAGCCTGCGTCCAGTATGGGCCAGACCAGAGTCCCAGCTTCTCCACTTTTAATCCAACTCCCTACTGATGTGCCTGGGAATCAGTAGAAGATGGTCCAAGAACTTGGGTACTTGGGTCCCTGAATCCACCTAAATAAAACTCCTGGCTTCAGCCAGGCCCATCCCGAGTCATTGTGGCCATCTGAAGACAAAGGATCCAAAATCTGTCTTTCCCTGTTTCTGCAACTCACCCTTTCTGATACATGAATCAATCTTTTGTTTTCACCAAGCTGTTGAACAAAAGGAAGCAAATTTCCTAAATTTATTTTCCATATCTGTTGAGAATTTTAACAAAATTCTATCAAAATTCATAAATACCAAACTATTCACTGAAAGAATATGAAATGTAAAATGTGTAATTTGCAAGAACTATTTAGGAATAAGGTGTCATGGAGCTGTAATACTGCAAAGAACTCATGAAATGTAATCTCAAGATTTAAAAATTACATTCATAATTATGCTCTCTGGGTCACATGGATTAAGCTGCTACTTGCCACCTGTGATAGCAGCATCCCACTCAGAATTCCAGTTTTGATTTCAGCTGCTCGGTTTCTTTCCAGCGTCCTGCTAACACATGGAAAAGCAACAGAAGACGCCCTGAGTACTAGGGTACCTGCTACCCACATGTGAGATATGGATGGAATTCCAAGTTCTTGGCTTCAGTCTGTTGCAGCATTTTGGGGAGCACATCAGTGAGTGGAAGCTCCCTTTCTTATCCCTGTGGAATTCCAATGTCACAGACCACAGCTTTACATTCTACGTAAAATTCAGACCCTAAATGTTTTAAAAACTAAAATATTACATTTATGGGCCTGGTGCAGTGGCCCAGCAGCTAAAGTCCTCGTCTTGAATGTGCCAGGATCTCAAACGGGCGCCAGTTCTAATCCCAGCAGCTCCACTTCCCACCCAGCTCCTTGCTTGTGGCCTGGGACAGCAGTTGAGGACGGCGCAAAGCCTTGGGACCCTGCACCTGCATGGGAGACGAGGAGGCAGTTCCTGGCTCCTGGCTCCAGATCGGCACAGCTCTGGCAGTTGCAGTCGCTTAGGGAGGAAATCATCAGACAGATTCTCTTTCTCTGTCTCTCCTCCTCTCTGGATATCTGACTTTGCAATAAATAAGTCTTTTTTAAAAAATGCCCATCTGAAAAAAAATTAAAATTCTGCATTAACAGAGGATTGTCATTGCAAACTTTTTACCCAATAACCAAAACATAATAGATTTTAAATTTTCATTCTTGGCACTACAAAAAGCACTAAATTGTAGAATATTCTTCAGAATATTTTACTACACAAATGAATACATGCTTCTCTGAAAAATGTTAAAAACTTAATTCAATTGAAAGAAAAGAACAATCCAAAATTTCACTGACTTTTCTCATGGTAAAAGATCACAAAGATATTTTTATAACCCAACCCTGATTGTGATTTCAACTAACAAAGAAAAAAGAAAATACAGAATCAAAATGTCAAAAAGCAACAGATTCTTACTATATTCATTCTGAAACTCAACTCAAAAGTAGTATCTAGACACAGTATAACACTATAATCCACAAAATCTTATTTTGGCAAAGAAAGAAATTCTCTTCCTCAAAAATCTCACAAACAAAAACACAGGACAGAAATAACATGTGTGCAAAACTGCTTATGTGTAAGATTCAGTTAAGACTATCACAAATATTTTCAATCCACATGAGAATATCTCCCAATAAGCTACAATTTATGACTTCCTGAAAATGTTGAGCCTCTTAACTTCGCAATGAACAGTCTCTTCCTTCAAACTCAACTTTCCAAGGACGTGACATTATCAATATAATGATAAATTTGCATTCTGCCTTAAACTAACTCTCAAACCAGAACTAAAAAACAGAAAATTATTAGTACTTACACTTATTTCTAAAAAGAGAGCTGAGTCTTGCTAGACCAAGGTTTTCAAAAAATAATCAAATTTAACAGCCTTCCAAGCCCCTGCCATTGTCACATTACACACTGGGGGACCTTTGGGTTTATAGTCATACTACACAATATCCAAGCATCATTACCTTCAGTGGACAGCTGGGTGTGACAATCAAGGTAATCATTTCTCAATGTTTCACCATTAGACCTCAGTGACTTCCATATTTTCCTCAATACAACAATAAGAAGTTTTTGTTGTTTAGTTCAGTGCCACATTTGCATCTTGAATACAATTTAACAACTGGTGATCCAAATAAACTCAAATCAGTACTGGATATTGGTTTCTTCCTCAAATACTTGCTCCCAGCTGATAGGTACACAGGTGTATACACAGATATAGTTTTTTATAATAGATTATTTATTTTTATACAAAGTCAGATATACAGAGAGGAGGAGAGACAGAAAAGAAGATCTTCCATCTGATTCACGCCCCAAGTGATCACAATGGCCGGTGCTGTGCCGATCCGATGTCAGAAGCCAGGAGCTCTTCCAGGTCTCCCAAGTGAGTGCGCAGGGTCCCAAGGCTTTGGGCTGTCCTTGATTGCTTTCCCAGACCACAAGAAGGGAGCTGGATGGGAAGCAGGGCCAGGGGGATTAGAACCAGTGCCCATATGGGATCCCAGTGCTTTCAAGTTTCAAG